ATGTCTGGATGTTGTTGTCGCTCTGTAAGGCTAGATGTTGATCAGCGGTGTCAACATCAACAGTAGAAGAAACGTGGCCCCAGATTTGTACTAAAAGCAAAAAGTGGATTAGACCCTAAAAACCCATCACTGTCCATTTATGGCCTAAGTGTTCTTGTTCGAGGTCTGAGTGTGGGATCGTCCTAGAGCCCTCGGGCACTCACCTGTCTCTCCTTACCCCAAGACATCAACGAACTAAAGGTGTTTGTGGATCTCGCCTCAATCTCTGCGGGGGAGAATGACATCGACGTGGATCGGGTAGCCTGCTTCCACGACGCCGTGCAGGGCTACGCGTCGCTGCTGTATAAGCTGGATGTGAGTGCAGGATTTGAGGAGTTCATGATGCATCTTGAAGAACTGTGGAAGGCTCTGGAGAATGACCTGCACCTGCCCCGTAAACTGGTAAGTCTTCTTTCTGGCTTCATCTGAGCACACGAAGCTGTGCACAGGGTCTTATTTGGCGTCACAAGGGGCAGGACTACAGGTCACCCCCACCTGTGTGGTCCATGTTAAAATGATGCTTGAGACCAGTTTTCCTTCATATGTGGAACTGTTTTCTTTTCCTTGTTATGGTAGATAGAAAGTGGGATTCAAAATTTCATGTAAATAAGAGCAGTTTCCATTGTGCAAAACACATGGAAAAATGACTGATCTATAACCCGTGTTTTCTTCTGAATGGTGATAACTATTACTTTTTACTATATATTTCTTGGTTCTTTCCACGTTTCCCACAATTGGCATGAATTAGATTTCTTTAAATAATCTCTCCACCCAACATGGAGCATGAACTCGGGACCCTGAGATCAAGAATTGCGTGCTCCCCCAACTGAGCCAGACAGGCACCCCTGTAAATTCATTTTTTATCAGAGAAACGAATGAACGTGTTAGTGTAAGTAAACCATTTGCACCAGGGTCCACACAGACCCATACCATGTCACGTGGCTGGCGCACAGAGGTGATGTCAGCCAGATCCACCAGAGGGTGAGGGCGGAGAGGAGAAACAGAGGACCAGGTAGCGGGGGCTTCACTTCTGCTGCTGCAAGCTTACGTCTGAACAGAAGTCTTTGCTTTAATCTCTCCCAGGCTTCCATTTGGACCTGGGGTCCCCAGAAGCACACTTAGAATATAAGGCCACACTGCCCTCCTTATCCAGCAGTACCCCCACCTGGGGGCCTGGCAGCATGAACCCCCTCACTGTTCTGTCCATGTGCCCCCATGTGTTAGCCAGGGCAGTGGCCATTGGTCCCCACCAGACAGCCTATTACATAAAGAGCAACACCATGGGATAGTGACCGAGAGGGCTAAGTGAGAGGGCAGTGGGTGAGGAAGGCTTCCCCTGTGGGCAGGAGATGGGGAGGGGGAACTTGCCCCATGGGGAGCAGAGACGGAGCCACAGGAAGAAGAGAAAGAAGGTTGCTCATACCGTGGCCTATTTCCCCTCCTGTTCCAACAGCATGACTCTGCCAGGAACTTGGAGTGGCTGAAAACTGTGAAGGAAAGTCACGGGTCGGTAGAACTTTCCTCCCTCTCATTGGCAACAGCCATCAATGACAAAGGCGTCTATGTGATCAGGGCCCCCAAGGATAGCCAGAAGGTGAGCCACCCTGCGTCCTGGCACAGCTGTCCGTGGTGTGTTCAGGCTGCTGCAAGTTGGGGTGGGGGTGGGGTTCTTCTTTCCGAAAAGTGACCTCTAAGCACGCACGGTTCCATAGATCTCCCCAGACACGGTTCTACAGTTGCTCTTGCCCGAGAGCCATGGAGACCCTGAGGAAGTGCGAGTCTACTCTTTGGAAGACCTCAAGGAGCTTTTGAATAAATTGATGCTGATGTCTGGCAAGAAAGATCACAGGAACGTTCAAGTAGAGGTATTTTCCAAGGTGAGGACTTGTGATGACATGGGACCAAGCACATGTCATGAGCTCATGTTTGGGTAGAGGACTGTCACTGCCCAGTAGCCAGAGAAAGAAGGGTTTGACTTTGGATTAGTTGATAGGAAGCACTCTGCTTTAAGACCATGGGTAGGTCTTAGAAGGAGACTCCTCTTGCTCCATTTACTCTAGAAATCAGCAAGAACACGCAAAGACTTAAAGATTTAGCTAGTCCTTCTTCATTGAAATAAAAGTAGCCATGTTGATAAAGGAATATCTGTGTATGTAACGGTCTCTGGACTTTGTTACGGGTGTTTTCTTTCAAGGTCGTTTGTACTTTATGATGACATCCTTTAGCCTTATCAGAGAGTCCTGTGGGAGGCTGATGATGTAAATCAGGAAATAAGGCCTCTGTGATTACCCCGTGTGCTCAAGGCCATATAGGGAACCAGTGGAAAGACATGAACCCAAGTACTTCAAGTTATATTTCTGTTTCGGTCATTCTGGATGATCGTGTGACCTCTGACACACGCTGTGATGTCTGCCTCCTGGTTCCGTTTGCTACAGGTGTTCTGCACCGTGCAGCGGCTTGTCCAGGCCTTCATAGACCTTTACTGCGCTGGAAACATGCTGTTCAGGGCCTGGGGTGCCGAGGTGTACTGCTCCCCCCAGCACGGTGTCTCCATTCGAATGGATTTCTGCTTGGAGCCTGTAAGCCAGCTCAGGGGCAGTGGGCCGGTGGCCACGCTGTTGGAGGCCGTCAGCAGAGAGATGGAGCATTTCCTGGATCACTGGAAGAGATTCGTGGCAGAGAAGCGGGCCAAGTACTTTTATCTCAACTACTACACCGCCGAGCAGCTGGTGTACCTGAGCACAGAGCTCAAGAGACAGACGCCCAGCGATGCTGCTGTCACCATGCTGTCCTTCATCAAAAGGGACTGCACCCTGACCGATGTTGCGAGGGCCCTCAAGGGGCCCAATGGTGAGGCTGCCAGGCACCACGAGAGGACAGTGGTGGAGGAACTGCAGCGGATGCTCCTGCGTGAGTTAAGCCTGGTGGGCAAGCTGCGGGCTGTCCTGGAGCAGTCCATGGCGTGCATGAGTGCCTTCCTGCCTCACTCTCTGGACCTGGAGACCCTCGGCCGCTGTCTGGCTCACCTGAGCTGGATGAGTGGACATCCTGTGATGCGGTTCCTCCCCAACGGCCTGCACGTCGGCAAGCCCAACCTCATCATCTGTGGCCACACTGAGGTGCTGTCGGCCGCACTGGCCATCTACATGCACACCGCACATCAGCCACTGCCCACCTTCGACGAGGTGCTGCTCTGCACCCCGGGAACCACTTTTGAGGAAGTGGCCCTGCTCCTGCGCCGCTGCCTCACTCCAGGCTCCCAGGAACAGGGGGTCTATAGCCTGCTGTATGCGGACCTGCTGAGCTATGAGGTGGCCTGCCAGGTGGAGGCACTCTTCCTGACCCTGTGCTCACAGCCACACCGGGATGACTTCCAGCTGGTGATGATCTGTGACTCTGAGCGGGAGCATTGCCACCTGCCCTCGGCTTTCAGCCAGCACAAGGTCCTTGTCACCCCTCAGAAGCCCCTCCAGGATATCCAGGCCTACCTGGCTCGGCATTTCCAGGTCCCCAGGCACTTGCCATCAGCTGCCGACGTGTTCCGGGACCGGATGTGTGTGGGGATTGTGACCTCCAAGCGAGCGGGCGTTGGTAATGACCGTTCCTGGGGTGGACGGGCCCCTTGGGTCCCAGGGACCATTTGATGTCCAGTGTTCAATGACGTACAAATGGCACGGGTTCCGATGCCATATTTTCCCATTTATGTCCATTAAGTACCTTAGGATGACGTTCCCTATCCAGCAGGGGCAACTCAGGCGGAGCCCTCTGTAGGAGGAAACTGAGTCTCAGGGAGGTTTTGATTCTTGGAAGCTATAAATCAGGGCCCATGCTGGAATGCGACACCCTTTCTCCCTAGGTTTCAGGCTCAGGCGAGTCCAGGGAGCCAAGTCACCTTCCTCTAAACAGGCTTCTCTGAAGCTCTCTCTCTTTTATTTTACTTACTTACTTACTTATTTATTTATTTGACACACAGAGATCACAGGTAGGCAGAGAGGCAGGCAGAGACAGAGAGGAGGAAGAAGGCTCCCCGCTGAGCAGAGAGCCTGATGTGGGGCTTGATCCCAGGACCCTGAGATCACGACCTGAGTCGAAGGCAGAGGCTTAACCCACTGAGCAACCCAGGCGCCCCACTCCCTCTCTTTTAAACTCTGTTGGCCACTTCAGGGTTGATGTGGATCTGGAGAGCAGAATGAGGTGTGATTGCTTTGTCTTGAGAAGAAATAGATGCCCCTTGACTTCCCTTCTCTTGACTTTATCCCCTTAACAGCACAACCTTCTTGCATGGAAAACCTTTGCCTCCCCTCCCCTGGACACGGGTGACACAGCCACTGTCCTTTGATTCCGATGGCCACCATCCATTCCAGGGGATACCAAGGATCTTGAGCAGGCAGCAGCAGGGAAATTTGAGGACTGGAAAGTGTATTCTTTACCATGATGTTACATTGTGTCGGTTCTGAATTTCCGCACAGATAAATGACTTGTAATAAATCTGGATTCTCCTGTTCCTGGTCCACAGCCCTGGCACCTGATTTCCATATTTTATTTTATTTCATTGTTTTAAGATTTTGTTTATTTGAGAGAGAGCATGGAGGGAGGAGCAGAGGGAGAGGGTCAAACAGACTCAGCGCTGACGGAGGAGCCTGATATGGGGCTCCATCCCAAAACCCTGGGATTGTGACCTGAGCAGAAATCAAGATTCTAGACACTTAACCCACTGAGCAGGCCAGGTGCCCCCTAATTTCCATATTTTAATGTTACAGGAAAGTCTCTCTATGTCCGGAGATTACATGGCAAATTGAAGATGCAGCTTGGAGGCCAAAAAGTGCCCCTAAAAGTGATCCGACTAATCGACCCTCAGGTGGATGAGAACCAAGTGTTGCAGTCCCTCCTGCCTTTCCTGAAGGCTGAGCACCAGACAGGACCTGCGATCTTCCACTTTGATGTGACCTCTTCAGTAAGTGCCCCGGGATTTCAGTTGATTGGCCGTGTCAGGAAAGACTCAGTCCCCATGTCTCACGCTTCCTCCTTCCTATATAAAGAACTTCCTCTTTCTATGTGATAGTCAGTATCGCTGTGTCCAAGCACAGAGTACAATGGTCCTCAGGGTTGGGAGACTGCGTTGTCCTTTGTGTGAGTGCTTACACACCCAAGTGATTCTCTCTAGGTGCAGACTGGACTTTGGGCGTTCATTTTCAAACTCTTCATCCTACGGTACTTAATGGATATAAATGGGAAAATATGGCATCGGAACCCGTGCCATTTGTACATCATTGAAACCCTGGAAAGGTTGCCAGCACTGCCCAGGACGCCGTACAGACGGGTATGTGCCACAGAGCCTTTTCATGTGTCCGTGCCAGCACATCCCACTTCCGCCTTGGCGAGGCCACTTTACAAGTACTTTTTGATAATGTCTGTAATAAAAATACTCTTACTAGTTAGGAGTATCTAGAGTTTGATTTGGGATTGATGCTGTTTGTCTGAGTAAATGCTAGAGGTGCTCAGAACCCAGTAAATCCATCTGCTGGGCACACACAGTCCGTCCCTAATGCCAGCTAAGATGGGAAGGAGGCTTTTGTCACATATACTTCTTAACAGAAGGGAGCCTTGTGCACACATGCACACGCATGTGCTTAGTAGAGATTTTGTTTCAGGAGGTTGGGTGATAAGGACCTGACCGTGGAACAGGTAGCTCCCATGATGGCCCAGTGATAGCAGCCTGAGCACAAAGGAGTCTGCAGAAATCAGTTTATGGAAAGTGGGATCTCAGAAAGGTCCTATATACTGCATGTGTACAGCCAGTGTAGATCACGTGGAGGGTTAAAATGCAGAAGATTTTTTAGGAAACATAGTCATAACCATTTTATTCATGTCTCCCCTTTCTAGAGTACACACACCCCCCCCCTTCAGTTTTCTCGATATCTTCCCAAGAGTCACCTGCCGGCCTCCCAAAGAAGTGATCGACATGGAGCTGAATCCCGAAGAGAGCTACAGCAATCCAGGGATGGACCAGAAAGCATTCCACAGTGAGACTTTCCAGAGGCCTTATCAGTATTTGAAACGGTTCCATGAGAAACAAAACCTAGACATGTTTCAGTACCAGAAAGGCTCTGTGGAAGGCACTCCTGAGGAATGCCTCCAGTATTTCCTGATTTACTGTGGGTTGATAAATCCATCCTGGGCAGAGCTACGGAACTTTGCTGGGTTCCTGAATTATCAGCTCAGAGATTGTGAGACCTCCCTCTTCTGCGACCCGCGCTTGATTGGAGACACACTGCAAGGCTTCAAGAACTTTGTGGTCACCTTCATGATCTTCATGGCAAGAGATTTCTCCACACCGACACTTAATACGTCCGATCAGAGCCCTGGGAGGACCACAGTGACCATGGATGGGGTCAGCGAAGAAGACCTAGCCCCTTTCACTCTCCGGAAGAGGTGGGAGTCAGAGCCTCACCCGTACGTGTTCTTCAATGGTGACCACACGTCCATGACATTCATGGGCTTCCACATCAAGCCCAATAGGAGTGGCGGCCTTGATGCCATCGACCTCTCCGGTGGGAGAGTGATCAAGAAAGATGTCATGGGGATGGAACTGTACCGGGGGCTATTGCTTCAGAGGGTGCCTTTCAATGTTGACTTTGATAAGCTTCCCAGACATGAGAAACTTGCAAAGCTCTGCCTGGTGTTGGGGATCCAGTGGCTCGTGGACCCTGATGAAACCTATGAGCTCACAATGGACAATATGCTGAAGATCCTTGCCATCGAGATGCGGTTCCGGTGTGGGATCCCCGTCATCATCATGGGAGAGACCGGCTGCGGGAAAACCAGGCTCATTAAATTCCTCAGTGACCTGCGACGTGGGGGCACCAAAGCTGAAACCATGAAGCTGGTCAAGGTCCACGGAGGAACCACTGCAGAGATGATCTACTCCAAAGTGCGGGAGGCAGAGAAACTTGCTATGTACAATAAGGACCAACATCAGCTGGACACTATCTTGTTCTTTGATGAAGCCAATACAACAGAAGCCATAAGCTGTATCAAGGAAGTCCTGTGTGATCGTACAGTGGACGGCCAGCCCCTGGCCAAAGACTCGGGCCTGCATATCATAGCGGCCTGCAACCCTTACCGGAAGCACTCGCAGGAGATGATCAGCCGCTTGGAGTCGGCCGGTTTGGGATACAGGGTCAATGCAGAGGACACGGTGGAAAGGCTCGGCTCCATCCCCCTGAGGCAGCTGGTGTACCGAGTGCATGCTCTGCCGCCCAGCCTGATCCCGCTGGTGTGGGATTTCGGACAGCTGAACAACACCGCCGAAAAGCTCTACATCCTGCAGATTGTGCAGAGGCTGGTGGATGCCATCAGGTTAGATGAAGATGAGACTCTTGTGATCACGGAAGTGCTCTCTGCCTCTCAGGCTTTCATGAGGACGAGAGTGAACGAGTGCAGCTTTGTCAGCCTCAGGGATGTGGAGCGCTGTGTCAAAGTGTTCAGATGGTTTTACGACCACAGTGTGATGCTCCTGTCAAAGCTGGAGTCCTTTCTCCAAGAGTCCCACGTCAGCCAAAACAATGTGGAGAGAGATCCTGTCCTCTGGTCCCTGGTGCTGGCCCTCGGGGTGTGCTATCACGCCTCTTTAGAACAGAAGGAATTGTACTGGAGAGCCATTTGCAGTCTCTTTCCAGAACCATATAACGACAGCAAGATTATTCTGGAGGAGATAGCTCAAACACAGAGTCTTTTTCTAAATAGTGTGTCTTTAAGGAAAACCATCGCTAGGAACTTGGCTTTGAAGGAGAATGTCTTCATGATGGTTATCTGCATTGAGCTGAAGATTCCCCTCTTCCTAGTGGGGAAGCCCGGCAGCTCCAAATCTCTTGCCAAGACCATTGTGGCAGATGCCATGCAAGGCCCAGCAGCTCACTCGGACCTCTTCCGGAGCCTGAAGCAGGTCCATCTGGTATCATTCCAGTGCAGCCCACACTCTACTCCTCAAGGCATCATAAGCACCTTCAGGCAGTGTGCCCGCTTCCAGCAGGGAAAGGACCTACAACAGTACGTTTCTGTGGTGGTGTTGGATGAGGTTGGACTGGCAGAAGATTCGCCTAAAATGCCCTTGAAGACTCTGCACCCGCTGTTGGAATATGGGTGCATTGATGATGATCCTGCCCCCCACAAAAAGGTTGGCTTCATAGGCATCTCCAATTGGGCCCTGGACCCTGCCAAGATGAACCGGGGTATTTTTGTGTCACGTGGCAGTCCCAACAAGAAAGAGCTCATAGAGAGCGCTAAGGGGATTTGCTCCTCAGAGCCCCTAGTTCAACAAAGAGTCCAAGGCTACTTTGCGCCCTTTGCCAGAGCCTATGAAACCGTGTGTGAGAAGCAAGACAAGGAATTCTTTGGGCTCCGTGACTACTATAGCCTCATCAAAATGGTCTTCGCCAAGGCAAAGTCTTCTAATAATGCGCCCTCCCCGCGGGATATTGCGCAGGCTGTCCTTCGGAACTTCAGTGGCAAAGATGACATCCACGCTTTGGACATTTTTACAGCCAGTTTGCCTGAGGCGAAGTGCTGGGAAGAAGTCAGCACCATGCAGCTGATCCAGGAGAACATGTACAGTGACCTTCAGAAGGCGTCAGGCAAGGAGCTGGACGGCTCTGAGTCCCGCTACCTGCTTGTGCTGACCAGAAACTACGCGGCTCTGCAGGTCCTGCAGCAGACGTTCTTCAAGGAGGACCGGCAGCCGGAGATCATTTTTGGTTCCAGCTTTCCCAGGGACCAGGAGTACACCCAGGTCTGCAGGAATATCAATCGGGTGAAGATTTGCATGGAAACGGGCAAGATGGTGGTGCTGCTCAACCTGCAGAGCCTGTACGAGAGCCTCTACGACGCGCTCAATCAGTACTACGTCTACCTGGGGGGCCAGAAGTACGTGGACCTTGGTCTGGGGACCCACCGGGTCAAATGTCGGGTTCACCCAGATTTCCGCTTGATAGTCATTGAAGAGAAAGACGTTGTCTACAAACATTTTCCCATCCCTCTCATTAACCGGCTGGAGAAACACTATCTGGATATCAACACTGTTTTGGAGAGATGGCAGAAAAACATCGTGGAGGAGCTCCAGAGCTGGGTGGAGAGATTTGCAGATGTGAAAGCGGAGCATTTTGTAGCCGGGCACAAGTACAGCCCTTCTGAAGTCTTCATCGGCTACCACCCGGACGCGTGCGCCTCTGTGGTGCTCCAGGTCACCGAGAGGCTGGGGCCCGGCGTCTTAACTGATGGACTGTACCAGAAGGTGTCTGAGGAGGCCAAGTTGATTCTGCTGGGTTGTGCCACGCCAGACGCCGTGATTCGGCTGGGAGCTACCTCCCTGGGCCTGTTCGCCGCACAGTCCCTGTCGCAAGAATACTACCACAGGCAGCAGCATAACTCCTTCGCAGACTTCCTTCAGGCCCAGCTTCACACAGCGGATCTGGGGCACCGTGTCACCTTCACGGAGGTGATTACAATTTTACCTCTGTTTTCTTTCCGAGGCCTTGCATCCCTAGTTTCTAGAATTCAGGATTCTTTTCTAGTCGGTGTATAGGATTTATAAACTGACGTGTTTGGACTTTAGTTTCTCTCCATTAAGGGCAGGGAAACCCAGACACTCACAAAAATTCAGTCAGAGCAAGTTGGGAGTGCCTGTTACTGTGCAGAGCTCTGTGGTGATTGTAACATTGTGTCCAGTGCCCACTTCACGAGGGCACCGAGGATATAAAAATGCATCGGCACCGTTCTTGGCCTTGGTCCGCATACAGTGTAAGACTCGTGAACGGGTGCCGTTGGCATCATACCACAGGGCTATCTGTAGGGGCAGAAAGGAGCAATGCACGTCAGGGTATGAGGTCAGAGGACCCTCCAGCCAACTGTGAAATGCGGCTGAGGAAGTGTTATGGGCAGAGGTCCCTACTGGAGCAAAGGTGTCAAGGTGTGGCACACTGCCACCTGTGCAGGAAACCAGGAACTGGCCGCTGTGTAGCGTGGAGCTCGAGGGTGCAGGGGCCAAGAGTTGGGGATCCATGGCCCTGCAGAGCCTTCATGGAGGGTCCTCTCCGCGGTGCTGATGAGGGGGGAGAGAGAGAGGACTGCATAGGGAGATGTGTCCGATTGCCTGGGAGAGGAAGAAGGCCTGATAAAAGACTATCACAGGAAGGACAGGTAGGGAGGCCGCTGAACCAGTTCAAAGTAGAGCCGCTGGTAGACGGAGCTGGGAGACAGCACGGGAACTGGAGAGCTAATGACTGATGCCGTCTGGGGGCTCTGGAAGACGAAGGGGTCTAGGGATGACTTCCTGTGTCTTCCTTGGATGACTGGAGGTTTGGTTAATTACAAGCCAGGAATGAGCAACAAATATTGGTGGTAAATTCCATTCGGGACAGACTCTGCTGCCCCTGTGGGATCCAGGCAGACAACGTCTGTCATGCAGGTGGACATGGGAATCAGAAGCTCAGTGGCAGGGCCGCCTGGATTGGGGGGTTCAGGAGCTGTGATAGCTGCATGCCCATAAGGAGTGTTTTGGTTTGCTCTGGGCGGGGGCGGGGGGGTGATCTAGGGTTACAGGAGAATTGGTCATAACTTGGGGGCAGAAAGGGCACCAGCCAGCTGCACTCCATCCGGAAGTGTACAGAAGACCAGGAGGGAGGAATGGCATTTGTGTGGAGCCCTAAGGGGTCATCCGAACTTCTAGGAGGGACTGGACAGGAAGAGACACTGGAGTCCAAGGAGATTTGAAGGCACCTGGTGATAGGTTGAGTCTTCCCTCTGTTACCTTTGGATCCCGTAGGTTCTCTTTGCCTCACCACTGCCTCATTTTTCAAAACTCCTCTGAGTTTGGATGCTTTTCTATCTGTATACCAACCGCACAGTGATGCTGAGCCCATAGAAGATACTTGCTCAGCAGCCTCCTGTTTCTAAACCAGCAAACCCGCAGCCTCCCTTGAATTCTAGCCAATAATTGGCATTTCCTGACTTTGCAGATCACCACTTTCTCCAGGCTGCTCACCAGCCATGACTGTGAAATTTTGGAATCGGAAGTAACAGACGGAGCTCTGAGGCCCACGATCCTGTCCCTGCAGCAGTTTGATACCGAGAGCTCATTCCTCGGAAAAGTCCGGTGAGGCTCCCCCTTCCTTCCCCGTCCCTCCACCCTCAGCTCCGACGGCTTTGTGCTTCACGTGCCTGACTGCAGGGGCCACTGGCGCCGTCGCCAGCCCTGGTTAGCGAACACCGAGGACACGCGATGAAGGACGGTGTCCCGTTCTCCCTGTGTCCCCTTTGTCTGTCCTGCCTTCTGCGTAGGCATCCTTCTCAGAAGCCAGCGCCTTTTGTCTCATTAGGGAAGCATTTACTGGGCTTTATGCGCTCTCCACTGGCTTCTCTGTCCACATAGAGGGGGCCCCACCTGAGTGATTCCCACCAATAAATTCCTTCATATTTCCTATCACTCCGGGAGTTTTTATCACCCGTTGTTTAGGATGGGCAATTTCTTTTTCCTTTCAGAAACTGCTTAACTGACGCAGCCAGATGCAAAATCCTTATTATTCAAACGGATTTCGAAGATGGAGTCCGCAGTGCTCAGCTCATCGCTTCAGCTAAGTAAGTTTTTGTTGTTTTTCTCAGAAACTACCCAGAAAGCCCAGATTTCCATCAGGAGTTCCTAAAGAGTTTCTTCCCTGAAAACAGTATAGTATTAGAATACACAAGGAAACAAAAATAGAACGGCTCTCGCTTTTCATTCCCCACAGATATGGGCTAGAGAAAAGACTAAAACAAGGCAAAAATGGTAAAATGCCAAGAGGTGTAAATAATAGATTGTTAGCCGGATATAAAAGAATATCCTCGGAACACGTCTGCAGACATGTCTCGTAGTTATTACAGTTAAATTATGCCACTTGAACATACCGCAAGTTCAAGAGCAATCAGTATGTAAAAGCTTCCGTTTGTATTTATTGGACTTTTTATGGTATTAGTATAGCAGAAATCGGGTAGTGTTCTCTTACTACTTTAGTTAGAGGAAAGTGATTTCTGGGCCTTTGAAGGCATTGGAAGCCGTATTTCATAGCGTGGTTGTGGGTTCACGGAATCCTTTTTCTCAGGATAGAAAGCCCAGCCCGCCTCACCCCGAGCAGCCTCAGAGCAGGCCCATTGAGGGTTGTAGGACAGAACTCCTGGTCCATAGGGACATGGTACTTCAAAGCAGAGGGAAGAAAATGTTCCTGGTGATACAGAGCTTGCCCTCTTCTCACAAGAGGAAACAGTGAGCATGAGGTTATGAAATTTACCTAGGGTGCCTGGGTGGCTCAGTCGGCGAAGTGTCTGCCTTCCACCCAGGTCATGATCTCGGGGTTGTGGGATCAAGTCCTGCATCGTGCTCCCTGCTCGGTGGGGAGCCTGCTGTTCCCTCTCCCTCTGCTGCTCCCCCTGCTTATGGTCCGTCTCTCTCTCTCTGTCAAATAAATAAAGTCTTAAAAAAAAATTTAAAGCTAAAAAGACACAAGATCGAATGCGACCACAGGTAGGACACTCTTCAGCCACTTCACAACTTTGGTTTTGTTTATTTGCTTGTTTTTTGTCTTGTTTTGTTTTGTTTTTTGAGTTGTTTTGTCTTTGTTTGTTTTAAAATAGGTATTCTTCCATAAATGAAATCAACAAGCTACAAGGCAATAAGGACCGCATCTTGGTCTATTTTATCACCAAACTGTCCCGGATGGGAAGTGGAACATCCTATGTGGGATTCCATGGAGGTAGGATGAAAAATGTTACTGAAAATGCTGATTTAGATCACGTCTGAGTTTTTCCTAATTTGGCCCCATGGTGTACAAGTCTGGAATTAGAACACTGATGTTAGTCTCAGCAATACTCGTTTCGGATTCCATGAGATTTCTTACCAGTGGTTTCCGCGGGAAACGCTTGTGTCTGGACTTGCTGCCCCAGCTGCTGGCTGCCCCTTCATAGACCGGTAGATAAACATCTGCTTAGCCTCTGTGGGGCCTCGCTGTGCATAACACGGACGACTCAGAAGATCCTCCCAGCTGGCACTGTTTCAGAAGCACTGCCACTTTATGCCTGTTTCTGGAGGGAGCAAAATAGTATCTTAAGCCTCTTTCTGTCTCCCTTATTCTTCTGAGAATTAAACCAACTAATGTTAAGAAAATTGGTATTTTAAGAAATTGACAAATAACGGCTTGGGGAACGGGAAGCAAGTCTTGCCAGTTTCCCACACTCTTTACTAACTGTGATGCAGCAAGTATGATACAAAATGGAAAATATTCAAGAACCTTCAGATATCCTTTACAAAAAGGCAGTTCTCTTCATTCTTATGACCAGTGTTCATGTTTTGGTCATCGGCATAGATGCAGGGACAGGTGGTTTCTGTGTGGGTTCCAGGCTTTGGGGTCAGTGTAATTGAGCAGCAGTGTATTGAAACGTCAGGACCCGTGGTGTGTCCCTGCTTGTGGCTGACGAGAGGACACCAGGAAAGGCATGGGGAGACTCTAGATGGCTTTTACCCCCCACAGGGCTGTGGCAGTCTGTGCACATTGACGATCTCCAGAAGTCCACAGTCATGGTTTCAGATGTGACTAAGTTGCAGGATGTGGCCATCAGCCAGCTCTTTAAGCCAGAAGAGAACCCTGAGTGTAAGTCGGGAGAAAGCCTTTGGGGATGTAAGTAGGACAGCAGGAGTGGTGGCCAGGGGTGCAGAGGTGCGGGGAGCTGCACTGCTGTCCCGTGAGGGCCAGGCTGTGCCCTTGTGTCCATTGCACCTGCCCCTGGTGGGGACAAGTCCACAGGCAACACCTGCTCCTTCCCAGGACCAGGCACTGGTCAGGAGTCCCACATGGCAGAGCAGGTCTTCATGGACGCAGCAGGCTGTGAAGCCGGGGCGGGGGGCAGGGGGAGTCTCTGCCATGTGTCACACTCTGGTCACCGGGGCCACATGTCAGCTATGCTACGGATGTGGATGGGAACCATGGATGGGAACAGGTGTTGCCGCTGGCGGACCACACAGACGGGGCTGGTTAGAGGCCAGCCTATGTGCTCTGCAGCCTCTCCTATGGGACCTGCATTGGGGTGAGGGGCTGGGAGGCCTGTGGTGAGAGTCTGCATGCCACTCCCGTCCCCAGTGGCTTCACTATGCTTCTGTTGCAGCGGAGACAAGATACGGGGCTGGAGACAGCCAGGAGGAGGCAGAGGAAACCCAGGCTGCCAGGTCAGGGGAGGCGGCAGAGGTGGGCTTGGAAACAGAAGGCTCTGAGACACTGGACGGCACATGTGCTAAGCGAGGCAGGAGTGAGGTGAGTTTGGCTCTTTGTTCTTGGGCCTCCCAGAAGGCCAGGCTACCCCGCAGGCAGCCTCCTTCTGCTCACCTCTGTGGAGTCGAGGCCCACAACTAGGGCAGGGTTCCCCATGGTGGAGCCCCCCCCCGCAGTGGCCCTCAGAGGGACGGGGGTGGTGTGGGGCCAGGAGACCTTACCATCCCCACCTCCCGCATGCAGATCTTGGACACCACCAGCCTGCTGCAGAGCTGCATCCAGGGTGCCGTGGGCATGCTCAGGGACCCGCAGGAGGGCCGCCCGCGCGGCATGCGGAGAGTGGAGATTCTTTTCCAGCTGTTGAATGAGGACGATGTGGAGAAAGGTACAGGGTCCTGGGGCCACACACAGGCAGGCTCCTCCTCAGGAGTGCCTGTGTGACACACCCAGGACACGGCCCCTCTGCCCTTCTGCAGCTGCTTTCCTGCAGGCATGCAAGGTGCGCCTCTACGCCCTCCTCAAGCAGCAGGAAGAGAATTGCTTCTTGAACGTGAAGGAGTGGGTATCGAGGGAAGCCTCAAATCAGGACGCTCTCCAGGAGGCAGGCACATTCAGGTACCGGGACGAAGGGCATCCGGGGGCCGTGATGCGATGGTGGGGCAGGAGCGCCCTGGCCATGATCGGCTTGGCCACCTACTTCTTCCTAGAGCTCTGAGCAGTTCAGAGTGGTCTTGTGTTTTCTCCGAAAGATGCAGGGTGGTCTGGGTGGTGGTAAGTGGGGTTTGCTAGACTCTTCTCTACTTTTCCGCATGCTTACATTCTGTCCTAACAACAGAACCAGAGCACCTGCTCTTGCGGGAGGTAAACACTGGCTGGCGTGGCCGCCCCTGGAGGTGGCTGCTGTTGGAGGTTGTGGAGGTAGTGATAGGCAGGGAGGGAAGAAAATGCTTGTCCCAGGCCTGAGGTTTGGTTGAAATTACGTGATAATCATAGGCATCTGACCCGGGAGTGTTCATTCCGTGGCCATGGTCCTTTTTCTGTAAAACCTGACCGTTTTTCCGGACCAAGTGAGACAACCCATGTTGTGAAGAGAGGTGGGATGCTGTGGGTTCCCCCAAGAAAGATTCGGCCCCCACCTTGTCCACAGAGTCTTTGTAAGCTTGTGACAGTCACACTGCCCTGGTCTCCTCATTCCTGAAAGAATGTTCAGCTCACCTGAAGCCTCTCCCGTCCGGTCTTCCCTGCCACGATTCGTGTGGTTTCAGTGACACAGCATTCCTACACTGAGGCAGGAGGGCAGTGTGGGCGCCCCTGGAGTTGAGTTGAAGGTGTGAGCTTGTCAGTGTTGGTTTTACTGCTGTGGGCGGGGGTTTCTGCTTCAGTTTTCTTCTTCAGTTACCCTTAGTGTCTTTCCTACTTACACTTTCTGAGTGAGGAATTGTAGAGGATCACATATGAACCTAGATCCTTTCCCTCATTCACTCCTTACAGTACTACTAAGTACTTAATTTCGCATTAATATCCTTGAAATCTGTGTTTTGGGTACACACTTGACAGGTGTTCCCTGATTGCTCTGCTGTTGGCTATGGTGTTGGGGCTGGCCCAGCCCTTAGCAGGCACCAGTGCTCTCTGAACACACCTTCGTGGAGTGGTCAGGACCACACCTGTAGCTACCTTATGTCTGCCATCAGGCGGGCTCCAGAGCCTGCTGGCCCACTCCCACAATCTCTACGCCCGTCTCTCTTTACCATCCACGTACTTGGGACCTATGTCGTTTGTCCTCTCGGGATTAAAATCCAAGGTGTGATAGTCCTAGTTGTTCTTTTGTTTTGTTTTGTTTTTAAGATTTTATTTATTTATTTGACAGAAAGAGAGAGAGAGATCACAGGTAGGCAGAGAGGCAGGCAGAGAGAGGGGGAAGCAGGCTCCCAGCTGAGCAGAGAGCCCGACATGGGGCTCGATCCTAGAACCCTGAGATCACGACCTGGGCCGAAGGCAGAGGCTTAACCCACTGAGCCACCCAGGTGCCCCAGTCCTAGTTGTTCTTGATGTCCGAGGTCTGCATGCTTGTCCAGGGACACCTTCCTGTGTGCCCTAGAGCCCGCTTCCAGCTGTCACCCTGCGGCCTGCTGCGCTTCCCCGCTGTGCGCACGTTTCCCTTCAGTCAAGTGCTCTCTGATCATCAGCATGATTTGTTTTCTCAGTAGATGCTTGTGGATTCTTGCCCATGAATTCACACTTCAAGAAGGAAATCATCTTTCTTTCTTCTTTTCAAAAGGGGCCTGAATTGGTCTCCCCAATGTGAATGAGCTGGTAACAGATGTCTTACACTGGGTTACAGAGTTTGTGATTGTGTATAAACATCGTGATAACAGTGAAGGACCGTGTAGTTCATAGAAGCGGAGAAGTGTCCCTCTGGACGTGGAAACACTCAGACCCAGTGTGCCCAACCATCAGCAAGAGCGACCTTCTAGAGAAACAGCTACTCTCCTGTTTCCCTTGACGTGGAACACATTTATTTTGCCTTGTGCTTTATTATATTCTCTCTATAACTGTTTTTTTTTTTTTAGAGTAAAATTTATTTTTTTCCCCAAATGCACATGGTCCCTCTTCTTGTAGAGCCTGGACGACTTGCCCTGGGAAATTAGCTGTATGACAGGGTTCAACAAATGCTACTTGGCCTTTTTAGGGAGCCGATGACCACTTATTCCGTGTAGAGTTAAGGTATATCCTGGTCCTGCCTCCAACCCTAGACGTTTCTATCTGTGAGTTTTTCTTCGAGTACTTACAGACAATGGCAGTCTGCGTTTACTGCCCTAGCCGTGGTGTGGAATCGGGAGACCGGTTGCGTTGTTCCGGCCTAGAAGGAACCGAATGTCCGAAGGAGGCATGACTCCTGCAGCAGTCTGTGCTCACGGAGCTGGAATGACATCTCCTCTCCCCTGCACTGCAGGCAGACCCTCTGGAAGCGGGTCCAAGGTGTGGTGACCCCTCTTCTGGCGAGCATGGTCTCCGTCCTGGACAGAGACAGCAATCTCGAGCTACTGACCAGGCCAGACTCTCCTTCGTGGACAAGAGATCTTTGGATGTTTATTTTCCGGGACATGAAGTTTCTGAACATTCCTCTTGTGACAAATGATATGAGGTAAATAGGAGAGTTTCATTTTGTGGAAAGGGAAAAAAATCGTAATGCGGCAAAAGTCTCCATGTGTTCTTCCAAGTAATTGACAAAGCATAGGTTTCCATTTTGGAATCACATTTATTTTTTTTTAAGATTTTATTTTTACATGCTCTCTATACACAGTGTGGGGCTCGAACTCACAACCCAAGATCAGGAGTCGCACAGTCCATCAATGGAACCAGCCAGGCGCCCCTGAGTCACATGTATTTTAAATGCGGCCTCCTTTTGCAGCCTGAGGGTGATGGTTTTGCAGTAACAAATGGGAGTTCTGGAAAGTTCTGAGACATCCTGGTTTCATTCCCCTTCCTAATTTCCTCGCTTCCAGATCACCCACCACTGATAGAATTTCCAGCTTCAGCTTTGTCTACACCGGTGAGGCTGCACTTCGGAGAGCGGTTTGATGCGTGCGGCTCTGCCTGTCCCTCATTCCACGGCACGACCCACATGGCCCACTCCGGCCCTGCTCTTACATAGCTCACTCTCAGCGGGCCTCCCAAGAGCTTCCTCTTGGATTTCGAGGGCTTCCATTCTGTAGTATGGGCGAATAATGAGTCTACAAGTGACTGGGGTTTTGGATCTCCAGTGGGAACGCTTATTTAGAAAACAGGATGCTGTGGACCATGATGGAAAGGGTCGCCTTGGACAGGCCATGTTCTCCATGCATAGGTGGAGGGCGAGGGTAGGTCCAGGCACAGCAGACGTTGGGTAGCCTGCTTGACTCTTCCCGGCCTTGGTGTGTTTCTGTTTGTCTGAGGCAGAGGTGATCTGTGGACGTCCTGGGTTCCTCTGCAGTGGAAGCCCTGAGCTGTGAAATGGACCAGCAGGCTGCCTCTGAGGCCTTGTAGGCGCACCTGCCATTGAGCATGGAGAGGAACTGGCAGCAGTGTGGGTCTCCTGCTTTGAGCAACCACTCACTGATCCCGTCCTTTGTCTTCCTCTGCCCGACTCAGGTCTAAAAGTGAGATACCCTACATCACAGTGCAGAATGGAATGAGCCCTCCTGAGGGTGTGTCCAGTGACGTCCCGTTCAGCTGCAGAATCAAAGACTATCTGGAGGAGCTGAGGGTCCAGGCTCAGTACATCACCGGAGCCGAAGGTGAGCCAGGGAGGTGGGGAAACAGGACGTGCTGACTCGCCGCCATAAGTGGGTCATCCCTGTTTGGAGGCTTCTGGATAACTAGGGTGCCAGCCCTTGGGAGATGTCCCTAGGTGAGCCTTTCCCAACAGCATCAGCGACCAGAGTGGAATCAGCTCCTCCAAACTGAGCGGTCAGTGTCCTAAACCACAGGGCTCTTTGCTCTGCCCTCACAGGCCGAGCAGCTTGGCCAAAAGTGTCCTAGGAAATCTGGGGATAGGGCATGCTTTTGCAAAAGTCATCTTTCATACATGACATGGTCTTTTCAAAGTTTACTTATGGTATTGCCTTTGAAAAAAAAACAGGTCAAGGGGCATCTGGGTGGCTCAGTCAGTTAAGTATTTGCTCTCAGCTTAGATCACGATACCAGGGTCTTGGGATCGAGTCCCACACCAGATTTCTTGCTCACCGGGGAGTCTGCTTCTTTCTCTGTCTCTCTCTACCACAGCCCGCTCCTCCCCATTGCTCATTCTCTTTCTCTCAAATACGTAAAAAAACCTTTAAAAAAAAAAAAGTCAGGACATCTGGGTGGCTAGTCATAAGTGTCTACCTTAGGCTCAGGTCATGATCCCAGGGTCCTGGGTTCAAGACCTGTGTTGGGCTCCCTGATTAGTGGGGAGCCTCCTTCTCCCTCTGCCTTCCGTTCTTTCTGCTTTTGCTTTCTCTCTCTCTCTCTCTTTGACAATAAATAAAAATCTTTAGAAAATAGCAAAAAAAGGGGGGCGTTAAATACTTGACCATGTTACTTATCTGGGTACACATTCTGCCACTTGCTCTGAGCAAACTGAAGCAGTCTCTATCCTGAGGAAAGAGTATTTCTTTTTTCCGAGGCCATATCCTAACTGACCCTGCTTTTCTGTGATAGCATGTGACCTAGGGGCCAGCGCTCATGCACTAGAGGCAGATCTTTCTGGTGTGAGCAGCATGAGACCCCAGCCCCTGAAGAGCAGCCCACTTGCTCCTGAGCCGCTTGGGTCCTGGGGTTCCTGAAGCACACTATGATGCTGGCCATAGAGCCTGGTTGCTTTACGTTGTTTTACCCACTTGGAGCCGGCTAGGCTGTTTGTGACAAATCTAACCTTTGTTTCTGGTACTCCGCTGGGAAAACATCTAAAACGTCTAAAAACATCTAAAATGAAAGCACCGTCAGATCCTGCCGCTTGCTCCCCGTTGCCGAAAGCCAGCGTTCAGCAGAGCCTTGCCCGCTGCTGCTGTTCGCAGTGCTGCCCTTCCCCAGGAGACGTGGCGGTTTCTGAACGCAGGGCCAGAGTCACACCTCACGTTCTCCCTCCAAACCCTTCTTGGCTCTCCTCCGCAGGAACGTCGAAGAAGTTAGTGGAAATCTTTCAGCAGACCCCGCTGGGCAGGTTTCTTGCTCAGCTCAGTGTGGAACAGCAGCGGGAACTGTTTCTGTGCTACATGAAGGACTTCCTCCTTTTGACGATGAGAGCGTCCACTCGGGAAGAACTGGCGGTAAGTGCTGGGTCTCAGGCAGGGCGATGATGGTGTCACACGGACATGGTGATGGTGTCTCACGGGGGTGAGCCATTCTTCCACTGCTGAGTGTGCTTGGACCCTCAGCACCCCCCCGGGGCCCCAGACCACGGGCTGTTCATTAACACGAAGAAGACCTCCATTTCCCTTTAACGCCTTGTTTTTAAATGTGGAGTTTCTTTTGAAAAAAATTAGGTGAACTTAACTGACCATTATAGGCAATAACAGTAACGGAAATTTTAGTGGACATTATGATACCTCTGACAACCGAAGGATTTCAAACTTAAGTACATAAAAAATGAAAGTGACAAATTTGAGGAGAACATATTTACAACCAGCATGATTAAGGGTTAATTAAATATTCTTGGGAATCTTGGGGCATCCGGCTGGCTCAGTCAGTGGAACGTGCAACTCTTGATCTCAGGGTTGTGAGTTTGAGCCCCATGTTGGGTGTACAGATTACTTAAATATATGAAATAAAATTGGGGGCCTGGGTGGCTCAGTAGGTTAAGTGTCTGACTCTTGATCTCAGCTTAGTTCTTGATCTCGGGGTCCTGAGTTCAGGCCCCACACTATGCTCCAAACCAGGCATACAGCCTACTTAAAAAAATAATGTGAAATAAAATATCCTTAGGAATCAATAAGAAAGTCTCCGTGGGGCACCTGGGTGGTTCAGTCGGTTAAGTGTCTGCCTTTGCCTCATGTCATGATCCTGAAGTTCTAGGGTGGCAGGGGTGGGGCTTGCGGGGAGGGTCTGAGGGAAAGGGAGAGAGTCCTGAGCAGGTTCACCCCTGAGTGCGGGGCCCGACACAGGGTTTGATCTCATGACCCTGAGATCACGACCTGAGCCGGAATTAGGAGTCGGATGCTTAATCAGCTGAGCCACACAGGAGCCCCAGAAGGTCTCCTAATTTTAAAAAATTGGTGAAAGTTATATAAACCAGGAATTAACAGAATAATTATGCAGAGATCTAGAAACATTAGAAATACTGGTCAGCCTCACTGATAAGTCATTAGAATGTGAGTGGCTTTTAGATACTGATTTTGCCTGCCCACGTGGCGGGACTGGTTTGTGACAAGGCCAGATGCTCTTCCATTGCTGACAGGGCTGAGAACAAGCATGTGCTTCAGGAAAAGCCTGGAGGTTGGATCAGGAACCGTAAACTCTGAACTGGTGTTTTTGTCCCAAGAACGTTACCAGATGAGGACGTACATTTTATCCATAGGGAATGTTCTTTTCTTTAAAAAAAAAAAAAAAAAAAATTATTTATTTATTTGGCAGAGAAAGAGACAGCAAGAGAGGGAGCACACACAGGGGGACTAGGAGAGGGAGAAGCAGGCTTCCCACTGAGCAGGGAGCCCGAAGCAGGGCTCGATCCCAGGACTTTGGGATCATGACCTGAGCTGAAGGCAGATACTTCACAACTGAGCCCAGGCAAATTCAATCCCAGCCGCCTCCTTGTTGGTTGTGATTGGCGCGCATTAACATCGGTCTTCTTCCAGTGCGTTTGATGGCAGAAATGTTCACAATGTGATAGGAAGTGGGGGAAATCAGAAATACACCATGGTTGTGATTTGAAGACAAAACAGGGGCAGGACTTGGATATAAAATGCCCAGAAGAGGTGACGCCAAAAAGTGCCCAGGGACAGTAACTGTGCGTGGTTTTTAAAGTTCTCTTTTGTCATTTCTGAGCAGTTCAAATTTTCCACTGTGAAAACATATCTCTTCTTCTTTGCTTTTGACACACGTACACGAAAGCTTGTTTCTCATCCCAGGTTTTGCAGGCCGCACTGGGGTCCTGCATCTCTCAAGAGCAAGCGGAGAGGCCAGAGGACGAGGCCTCCTTACCGTGGGTGCACCTCACTTACCAGCGCTTCAGGGGCCGGCTGCAGAACTTGTCCAGAATCTTGACTATCTTCCCCCAGATTCTACAAGAGCTATTTTACAACACAACAGAAGGCACATGGAATGTCACATTGGACGGACATGAGCTGGTATGGCCCCTCGTGGGGACAGTTTGTGCTCAGAGTCAGGGCTTGGCCTTCCTGGAGCAGGTGGGTTGTGTTCTGGGGCCGCCCGGGATGGGAAAGCCCGGAAGCTGTGTTCTGCGCGGTGTGCCCGGGTAAGGTAGAGATGTGAGGAACACATCTGCCTCCTGCCTCCTAGGTCCCAGGACTAGAAAAGTTGAGGCTCCAAGCCTAGAACACGAGAACACACTGGGGTCACGGCCTGGACCTCTGGACTTAGCACTTAGAGCAGCGACAAGGGGTGGGGGTGCTCCTGCGTCAGGGGCTTGTTCTCTGTCCCCCCAGACTCTGGATGCACTGGCAGCAGTGGCCTGCACAGAGCTGCTGACGAGGGACATCCTGCAGCCCAGCCCCCAGGCGTGGCTGCAGATGGTGAAGAATCTGTCTGTGCCACTGGACCTCCTGGGCTCTGATGGGTGCCTGCAGAGCTGCGGGAGGCTGGCCCGAGGGGTCATCAGGGTAGTCAGGTGAGACCAGCAGCCCGGCTCCCACCCAGTCCTTCCCCACGTGCTCACCTGCAGCCAGCTGGGTCCCGGGCGCATGGGGTTCTCTTGCCACAGAAAGGGGTCCTCTTGTCACTTACACCACATCACATCTGCTGAACCTTCTTCCGTGCCAGGCATCAGGCTGATGCTGGAGACGCGGAGAGGGAGAACACATCCAGGGAGTGCTGGGGTGCAGGCAGGACAGAAAGGGGAGCAGATGCTTGAGGCTTCACAGGAGAAATGCTGGTAGAAGGGAGCAGTGGGAAGGGGCCCAGACAGGACAGGGGACCAGCAGCAGAGGAGCGGGGCACGCGGTTAGGCCCGGCTTCCCGGCAGGGAGGTCCCGTGCTGGCCTTCCAGAAAGAGGCAGTGCTCACACGGCACAGACTGGATAGGATGTGGCCCCCTGGGGCCCCTCTGCTCTGCAAATCTGAGGGAGGGCGTGGGGCACATGGAGGTGGCTGAGGGTCGGGAGCATGCAGCAAAGGGCTCCTCTCTGAGTCTTCCATCTGTCCCCACACCACCCCTTTCTCAGATCCCCCCCGCCACTCCTGGCATCTCAGATGCTGTTGTCCAAGCCCAGGGAGTGACAGCCATCTCTTACAGGACCCACTGGAACCGCATTTTCCCCGTGGCTCTTTTCGTGGAACATGTGCTGCTGGGGGTCGAGAGCCAGATTCCTGAGCTGCAGGCACTGGTGACTGACTATGTCTTCCTGCTGAACAAGGTGAGTGCTCAGGCCGGGCCAGCTCAGCCAGCAGCACACACGTGCCTCCTTCCGGGATGCAGGACCCCAAGGCGTCATCGGACATTCCTCCACAGGATGGTACATTCGCTTCCGGCTGAGGGTCGTACCTGGAAGTGCAGAGGAGGGTGATTTCATCACACTGGCCACGATGTCTGTCGTGTGCAGGTGTCTGCCTCTCGTGGGCGCCAGTCAGGTTCCCCAGCAGGAGTGGAAAGGACTCAGGCTGAGACGGGGAAGATGCTCTGAAAGCTGGGACGGCCAAGGGGGGGGCGCTGCCCAGGCCTCCAGTGGCCTTAGACCTACCCAGCCCAGCAGTCTGGCCCACTCGCGAGGCCAGGTTTTCACAAGAGGGCCACTGGGCTCTGGGCTTCCAAGCAGTGGGTGAACCGAGGGAACGGGAAGCCCTGGGGCCTCTGTCACCTGACACTCTTCATAAAGTTAGCGACTCACAGTTCCGAGCCCTGTGCCCATGCGCTCAGCACCAATGGCCGTTCAGCAAAAGATGGCCTCTGCCTCAGTTGCCCCTAGAGCCTTGCACTAATGCATCTAACAGATGTAGCTGTCCAGGCTCTAAGGCGCAGGGACACACTCCACGGAGGCTGACATGGACACCAGGAGCCAGTCTCCTCCTCGGTGACCAGAGTATCAGTGGCAGAACAAAACAAAAGCCTGCTTCTCATATGGTCCTGTGAGCCTGAGCATTCCGGGGCGGCGGCAGGCCCCCCCGTCATGTGCCCTCGCCCCTCTGACTTGTACCCTTGTCCTCACTACACAACCGCCACCTTGTCATCTGAGAAGGCTTTTCTGGCTGTCGTGTACAACAGGACACGACGCACGGCCCATTTTGAGAGCACAGGTGAGAGTAAGTTCACACCACTGTGGGTCACAGCTCACCGTCCCGAACACAGTCACAGCCTCACCTGGCTACAGAGCAGGTGGGGACACCTCGGGCAGTGTAGTCATACGCCCAGGTAGACCTAGAGGTTCTTTTGATAGAAAAGTGGAGAAAGAACTCTAGAAAAAGCTGGCGCTCTGCCACCCAGGGTCCAACTTGGCCAACTTGACCAACTTGGCCAAGGATAGTATCCATGGCCCAGTTGAGACCTTTCTCCTATGGTAAGAAATGCAGCCCAGCCTATGGTTCGGTCACAAAGCTCAGGGAGAGCCCTTCCCATCTCAGCTCTGCCCGAAGGCCACAGGCACAAGAGGGTCTGCCTACAGCCTGACTGCCCCAGAGTTATGCCCAGGAGGAAAGGGCAGGAGCCTCACTCTGCCAAGTGTCTAGGCCTTGATCGGCATCAGGGCACCCAATTCGATTTGCTTATCTCCCTTCCTTCCTCCCTCTTTCCAAAAAAAAAAAAAGAAGAAAAAAAAATTGGGCGCCTAGGTGGCTCAGTCGTTAAGCGTCTGCCTTCGGCTCAGGTCATGATCCCAGGGTCCTGGGTTCTAGCCCTGCCCTGGGCTCCCTGCCCGGCGAGAGGCCTGATTCTCCTTCTCCACTCTTCCTGCTTGTGTTCCCTCTCTTGCTGTGTCTCTCTCTATCAAATAAATAAAATCTTTAAAAAACAAAACAAAAAAAAGACAAGGACTCATGATACCCTTCTTCCCACACAGAGGCCAGCTGTGGCCTCTCTCTGGTCTCTGCCCAGTCCCTGGCCACAGGCCCCAGGGCTCGCTCCATCCTTCCAGCCAGTGCAGTGTGGCTCCTGATGGCCAGGTGACCGGTGAGCCAAAACGGAATTTATCAGGTCCCCGCACACCGGTATGCACACACACACGCAGGCTTTTGCAGGCTAGGTATGGGGGGAGGTATACAGGGCAATGATGTCACCTCAGGACTTACTGGGTTTCTGGATTATTTCTTCCCAGTCAGATCCGGGTGTGAATGATCAGAGCCAGAGGTCTTCTCTCACACATTTTCACACCTGAAGACTCTCGTCTTTATGGCCTCATGCTCTCCTTGTCCCCTCCAAAGCCAACCTTGAGGCCGCTCACAGGTGGCCGGAGGGGGAAGCATTGCCTGTAAGGCTGGCTCCCATCATCCAGCTAGGAAGGAAGTGTTGTTAACCTGGAGAGGCCTGGGGTCCCAACTCCTCTTCCGCCGGGGCAGTCTTTGAGAGCCGCCGCTTGGTTAGCCTGCGCCGGCCGCCAGCAGCATCTCCCACAGGCCACGGCCAAAGCTGCAGAGAGATGGGTGCTCCGCTTCTGACCGAAGGGACGGGCGCACGCAGGGGTAGATAGGTGGACAGAGGGACGGATGTAGGTAGGGAGGTCGACGCTCTTGCCCCGTGACCTGCCCCTCACGGAGTCACACGGGACAGTCTTACCAGATGTTGTGTGCTGATCTTGTTTTTTTTTTTTTTTTTTTTTAAGATTTTTTTTATTTATTTGACAGAGAGAGAGATCACAAGTAGGCAGAGAGGCAGTCAGAGAGAGAGGAGGAAGCAGGCTCCCTGCTGAGCAGAGAGCCCGATGCGGGCCTCGATCCCAGGACCCTGGGACCATGACCTGAGCCGAGGGCACAGGCTTTAACCCACTGAGCCACCCAGGGGCCCTGTTGTGTGCTGATCTTAAAGCCATCGGCTTCCTAGTCTGAAACGTCCGTGTCCTTACCAGCCACCATCCAACCACTAGACTGCTGCTGTTTTTTCACTGTGGTAAGAAACACGTCACGTGAAATGTATCTTTTTGAGCATCTTTAGGCGCACGGATTAGTGACATCAAGCACACTCACCTGTTGTACAGTCATCACACTGTCTCCAGAACTCGCTTGTCTTGTGAAACTGAAGCTCTGTCCCCATGAAACCCTGATTCCCCATCCCTCCTCCCAGCCCTGGTGCCCACCATCCCACTGTCTGCCTCGTTGATCTGATGACTCACACAAGTGGAATCCCCCGGTGCTTGTCTTTTTGTGAGTGGCTGGCTTCACAGTGGCCTCCAGGTCCATCCATGTGGCAGGCGTCAGGATGTCCTTCCTGTCTAAGCCTGAGTAATGTCCGCCGTGTGTGTGAACCACGTTCCGTTCATCCGTCCGTCCACCGGCAGACATTCAGGGTGTCTCCACCTTTTGACAACGGGGAGTAACATGTGTGCGAGTATCTGAGCCCAGGCTTTCGACTTTCGGAGATCTACCTGGAAGTGGAATTGCTGGTCATATGGAGAGTCTGTTAACTTTTTGGGGAACCGCAGAACGGTTTTCCCCAGTGGCTGCAGCATTGCACTCCTGCCAGCCACGCACCAGGTCTCCAGGGTCTCCACATCCTCGCTAGCACTTGCTGTGTTTCCGTGGTTTGGTGTGTAATGGCCGTCCTAGTGGTGGAGGTGGCATCTCAAGGTGGCTTTGATTTGCTTCTCCCTGGTAACCGATGACCTATGTCATGTTCCTATGTGCTTGTGGCCCATTCGTGCATCATCTTTGGAGAGAAGTCTGTTTAAATCCTTTGGTCCCTTGTGAATTAGGATATTGCTGAACAAATCAAATTTAGCGGGGTATTAAAATCATATCATTTCAGGGCGCCTGGGTGGCTCAGTCAGTTGGGTGTCTGCCTTTGGCTTGGGTTGTGGTCCCAGAGTCTGGGGATCGAGCCCTGCATTGGGCTCCCTGCTCAGTGGGGAGTCTGCTTCTCCTTGTGCCGCTCCCCCGGCTCTCGCTCTCTCCTTCTCTCGCTCACTCTTAGATAAGTAAGCAAAATATTAAAAAAAAACACATTATCATTTCAAAGTGAAATTAATCCTGGGAATTCAAAGAGAGCTCAAAAATCATAAAATCATAAATGTTATCAGCTATGTAGCAAATTAGAAGTGAAACCTTAAATGCCCATTTCAGAAGGTACAGAAAAAGAATTTAATACAATCTATAATTTGGAAAAAAAGTTACTTTTGGCAGACCGGGACGAGAAAAGGAGTCTCTTTATGGCAATAATGCCCAAGGTCATGTAAAATATAAAGATCTATTGCAAACATCATGCCTGAGCCCCAAATTCCAGAAGCGCACGCAGCCCGCTCATTGTCTGTGTCACTGGAGATGTGTGTTTCCTCGAAGCCGTTGCCTCCCCTTCTAAATACATGCTTTAGAGAAACTTCCCACCGGTGTACTCAGGTGGACACATGGAAGGATACTGGGTGCAGAACTATAACTGCAGAACAAAGGGAACATTCTAGACGCCCATTAACCAGAAAACAAGTAACTGGCGTATCCGCCAGTGTGCGCCGTACGGCAGCTAACATGAGTCATCTGGACCTACGGACAGCGTGACATCACTGGTGCAAAGGCTGGAAACATTCAGAGCAGCACCACGGTCTTTACGCACGTGTGCAAATGTAGTGGATGTGGGAATTTAGGAAGGCGGTCCTCTGTGGGAAGCGGAGGAGGGCCGTGTTTTCAGGACAGACATATGAAGTTACAGCTCTTTCTGGGATGTTTTGTTTCTTTAAAAAATAACCTAAAACAAATATTCCAAAAATGACAAGATTTCTTAAAGCTAGGTCATGCTTACACAGACAGTCATTATGTTATCATTGAAAGTTTGAAATGTCTCAGAATGCCTGGGTGGCTCGTCAGTGAAGCGTCTGCCTTCGGCTTAGGTCATAATCTCTGGGTCCTGAGATCAAGCCCTGCTTCGGGCTCCCTGCTTGGCAGAGAGCCTGCTTCTCCCTCTCCTTCTGCCTCTCCCCTCTGCCCATGCTCTTGCACTTTCCCTCTGTCTCTGTCTCAAATAATTAAAATTTTTTAAAAAGACATTAAATAAAATGAAGTTTGAATGATCTCTTAGTGGGAGAAGTGTGAACCTGAGAAAGAGAGAGGAAGAGGGCAGAATCAGAAGTGGCAAATCCCATCCTCCCCCCAAATGCAGCATAATAAAAAGGCATTCAAAGCCAAAGAAACTGCTAGAAACAGAAAGGCCTTGCCCTACAGGCTGACCTGATGGTCCCACAGCCCAGCAGCCGGGGGATACCTGAGGTGTGCCCTGGGTTGCCCGGGGAAAGTGGTCTTGCCTGGCTAACCTTTGCCCTTACTCATGGCTTGTCATCCTCCTGGTCATTGCCCCTCTCTCCATCAGCATCTGCAGAACGACTCCAACATCAAGACATACAGGCCTTTTGTCGCAGTGATGCGTACTCTACGTGAGTGCAAGGACCAGGCCAGCAAGACCCTCGCCAGGTGAGACCTTTGGTTGGAGATCACTGTGGTGGGGAGCACTGCATGAGTGGGGTCTGGAGCTGCCTGTGGCCAGCTTCTCTGCTTCAGAGCTTGTGCCTCTCCATGGATTCTAGGGTTGAGATTCAGCCATGCCCCATCTGCCTGGGGGACACCCAGAATCCGGTCTGCCTGCCCTGTGACCATGTGTTCTGCTTAAGCTGCGTCAAGTCCTGTCTCACCCTAGGGCAGATGAGATGCCCCTACTGTTTAACAGACTTGCCAGAAGACTACTCTCTAGCTGTGTCCCAGGAGCACAGGTAAATCACCCTTTCTCTTCTAGGTCTTCCCTTTTTTGGCAAGTACATAAACTTCAGATACATAAACTTATTAATCTACTTATTAATATAAACTGTATTGGGGCGCCTGGGTGGCTCAGTGCGTTAAAGCCTCTGCCTTCGGCTCGGGTCATGATCCCAGGGTCCTGGGGTCGAGCCCCGCATTGGGCTCTCTTCTCTGTGGGGAGCCTGCTTCCTCCTCTCTCTCTGCCTGCTTGTGATCTCTTCCTGTCAAATAAATAAATAAAATCTTTTTAAAAAAATATATAAACTGTACTAACCTTAACGAACCTGACTTTGGAGCACCATCCAAGAGAGACTGCCACCTTCATAGACCCTAGTGTCTCAAAATTATTCCCTCCACAAGACACCCCCAAGCACAGATGTGGGAGGCAACACGATAGGGGAAATAACGCAGAAAGTCCTCAGTGCGGTAAAAGCACCGCAGGATACCCAGGGAGTTTAGGGCACAGCCGGTTTGGCTCCAGAGACCTGAGGGCAAAGCTAGCTCCTGTCTGGCCGCGTTCTTCAGAGCAGGTGTGGAAGCGAGCGGAGACTCTGTGGGCTCCGCGGCCTTTGGCTCCGCTGCAGCAGTGGCTCCCCACCTCCTGAAAGGGGAGCACAAGGCTAGCATGGGGCGCAGGATCTTTGCAGACTTCAGGATGAAAGGGTATCGCTGGCTAGTCCCGAGGACCAAAGTGTTCCTGGAAAGAGACGAGTCTGCGCACCGTCAGATGGCTGTGCGCGCAGCTCCATCAGTGTAAGGGGACGGTTGCATCTTTTTACTGAACAACACAGACGGCCATGTAAATCCTGAAGCGCTGCGCATGCAGGAGCGCGCTCGGCAAGCCCGTTCACCGTGTGTTCCAACCGTCCCCAAGGGAGGCCGTCCGGAAACATGCCTGCGTCCGACAGCTCTGCAACAGTTTCTTCCTGGACCTGGTCTCCACCGTGTGCTTCAGAGACAACTCTCCACCACAGAAGGAGGTGATTGACGCTCTGCTCAGTTTACTCTTCGTACAAAAGAAGCTCTTAAAAGACACTTCCCAAAGTAAGTCGCTTGCTTGGTGTAGACCTAAAAATCCACTTCCTCGTCTCGCTTCTCTGTGGCTGATGGGAACACGAGCCTCCTCTCTCCCTCTGGTTTCAGGGCCCCGCGAGCACACAAAATCTCTGTCTCCGTTCGACGATGTTGTGGACAAGACCCCGGTCATCCGCTCGGTGGTCCTGAAACTGCTGTTGAAGTACAGGTGAGCACAGCTAGCCTGGGCTTTGCTTCTAGAAAGCCTCGCCTCCTGCTTCCCTCCTGTTGGCTACTGCTTCGCTGCCAAGCATGCTTGGCTGAACTGGTAGGTAGTACACGGTCCCGGGTGGCGTTTCCAGGAGGGACCGCCTGTTTCTTTTTCTGTACTGGTTCTGTGCTTCCCCCGTGGGCACGCGAGTTCATCATCCCCAAAAGTGCCCTGTTAGCAAGGACGAAGCAGCTTTCAGAGAGAGGAGCGAGGTAGTGGGACATGTGCGGGCACATGGGCAGGAATTGGCAGTTCTGAGCCTCCTCACACAGCTGCCTAGTCCTGTGACCCAGGGGCTGCTGAGAATGTCCCCTCGTCCTCGTGGTCCTGCATGCCACCGACATCTTGTTTCCGTGTTTCAGTTTCTCTGATCCTGTGAATGGACAGAGAAGTCCCTATGGTGCCAGTGCTCAGCAGTCTTGTAAAATTATGCTATTCTAGAAAATTCTTAGGGTGCTGATCTGTGTTCAGAAGCTTCTTTCCAAGGACACTGTGTACACTCGGCCAGTGCTCTGACCTGACAGCATTCTTTGAGGTGATGGCAGAATCAAGATGTTCCAAGAAATGCTCCAAAGCGGGTGCCTGGGTGGCTTAGTCGGTTGAGATCTGCCTTCAGCTTAGGTCACGATCTCCGGATCCTGGGATCCAGCCCTGCATTGGGCTCCCTGCTCAGGAAGCCTGCTTCTCCCTCTGCCTCCTGCTCCCTTTGCTTGTGCTCACACTCTGTCTCTGTCAAATGAATAAACAGAATCTTTAAAAATAAATAAATAAATAAATATTTTCAGTAAGATGTTGTTAGGAGCTGGTAGTACATATTTATGTGGTTATATTTATATAGGGAGATGGAGATGGATAGGCAGGTAGGTAGAGAGATTCTCTCTCTCTCTCTCTCTCTCTCTCTCTGGTACAGTGAGACCACCAGGTACCCTATTTTTCTTTCCGTAGCTTCCAAGAAGTAAAAGATTATATCCAGGCTTACTTGTTGCTGTTGGAGGAGAAGGCCCTGCTCGCCGAAGATAAAACCGAGCTGTACATCCTGTTCAGCAGCTGTCTGGAGGTGAGCACGCCGCACCTGCCCAGCACGATGCCCCCAAACTCCCTGCACCATGTGGTTGACTCCGTGGAAAAGGGTCTCTGGAAATTTGCAGGAGATGATTTTCATCAGGGAAAGGAACAGATGTGCTGTGGCACGCACACACAGGGGGCCTCCGCAGCCTGGGTTCTGTGCCTCGCGGTTGTGTGTCCTGCCACGCTTGCGCCTGGGCTAGAGAACAGAAACTCGCCCCCCGACTTAACCGTGCTCATCTCCAGCTGGCGAGCCTATGATGGCTTTTCCTTTTTATTTCCCCTATTTTGTTACTTCCCACAATTTTACCAGGTGTGTGAGAAAATTAGATCATAGGACATGTTTTTTTCCCATACGTTTTCTCTACGCCTTCTTGCCCCATCCGGTAAAAAGGGATGTTCTCTTGCCATGATTCAATAGTTACCCTCACACTTACGGTATTTCTATCTTGTTCTCCACCGTCTCAGTGTGGAGATTTGGGAAGGTTGGGGGTGTGCCTGCTGAAAGGATCATCCTTTTTTCCCTGGTTCTTTGTCCCCTAGGATTCGCTGTACGAGAAGGCCAGCGGTCTGTCTGCCCACGAGGAGCCGGCATACCTGCGGGAGGAAGGGGTCTTCCTTCAGACCTACTTGTGGCGGCACAGCCTGGAGCCGGCCAGCGAGGCATCCGTGGAGTACCTGCAGGAGACGGCCAGGGTCCGCCTGTGTCTCGACAGAGCGTCCGATGTCCTCAGCGAGCTTCAGGAGGGCTCAGGCAGGTCTCCTTCGGCACCTGTCTTTACCCCAGGCTTAGAGACCCATGATTTAGACATTCGGGGCATTCCCAGGGTGACCCCGGTTTGTACCATGTCCCCTTTCTCCGCAACTGGTTTGTTTGCTGTGAGCTCCTGGCAACTGGGGCGCATGCCTTTGGCCTGACTTCATGTCTTGGGTGGGCGGGCCGCGGGTCTGCTCAGCCAGCGTCGCTCACCTCTCGCGTGGGCTCCGCAGAGCTGGCCGGGGAGAAGCTGCGCTTCCTGCAGCAGGTAGAGCGCTTCTGCAGGCAAGGGAGGAACGACTGGCACCGCGTGTACCTGGTGAGGAAGCTCGCCAGCCAGCGAGGGATGGCGTGGGTGCAGCGCCTCTGCGGACAGGGCCAGCCGGCGCAGTGGGTGCTCCCCCAGGAGGCCGTGGTGCAGCAGGTGAGGACACCTGACCTCGCTCCCCCACCCCCGCCACCGTGGCTGCACTGGCCCCTTGTGTCTCCACTGTGGCACCCCACACCGGCCGCCGGGCGTTGGGGACAGGGTGTGCGTGCGCTTCTGACCTGTCACCTGCGGGCAGAAAGGCGTCTTTAAGGCTTCACTTCTGACCTAGTTTGACGTGGGGAAAGCCCAAGAATGATTCTGTGGCTTTTGCTTTCGGCAAATTAAAAGCAACTCAGGTTGAAGCATCTGAGGGGCTCAGTCGGTTGGATGTCTGCCTTCAGCTCAGGTCAGGATCCCGGGGTCCTGAGATCGAGCCCTGCATTGGGCTCCCTGGTCAGCAGGGAGTCTGCTTCTCCCTTTGCCTCCGCCTCTGCCCCCTGCTCCTGTGCTCTTTCTCTCTCTCTTTCTCTGACAAATAAAATCTTCCAAAAAAAAAAAAAAAAGAAAGAAAAAAAGGAATTCAGCTTGCAAAAGTCCTTTCTCTCTTCAGCAGACAGGAGGCATGAGAATGAGGATAATAGAACAGGAGCAGTTTATGCTTGGGGGCCCCTCTCTAGTCCTTTCCTGGGGGTACAACAATTGCACCAAAATCCTGACTTTCTTTCTCCCTCCTGGTGGGAGCTGACAGTCCACATACCAGCAGTCACTTGTGTCTGGTCTCTGCTCTCAATGGAAACAGGACGCAGTGACAGGATCGCTGCTGCCTCCTCCCCCAGTTTCTCACCTGCTCACCCCTTCACTGGGCAAGGGGGAGGTGCCTCCCAACACAGCAGGGGACTGTCATGCCCAGGGCTGGATCTCTGACGCTTACCTAGTCCTTTACCTTTCCAGATGGTTCTTTGCTTGTGCTGCCCTGGTCCCTCCCCTGTGATTAACCTGTGTGTTCCTGGGCTTTGCAGGAGGATCATGCAAGCCAGGTCGATCCGTACCTGGTGCACGGTGACGAGTATAAGGCTCTTCGGGACGCAGTGGGCAGAGCTCTGCTCGAGTGCAAGCCCTTGGCTGCTGTGGCTGGTGCGATGGTACGACAGCCCCCGAGTCTCCTTCCAGACCAAACAGCCGCGTTTGTGTCAAATGACCCAGCGGAAGAGGCACCCCCGGGAGACGTGCCATGTTGGGCATCATGTGTCCACAGCCTCAGCCTGCCCAGCTGAGTCAGGAGGCCGTCAGCGATGGAGTTAGGGGACAGATTTGCTCCATTGTGCTGACCTGCCAGGCCACAGCCTTCAGCAGCTCCCTCCTGAGTGCTCCCGGGTGTTATTTCCTTTGAGACCCAGCTGGAGCCTCCCTCCCTCCAACGTCCCCCTGAGGGCAGACCCGCACGCAGCACTGAGAGATTCCTTCCTGGGCACATTCAGGATTCCTGGCCGCCCGGATGGGGGTGTTGATTTTCATAGACGACAGGGTTTTTAGTATCTAATCTTCAAGCAGTTCTGGTCTTGCTTCCTCTTTGAGTCCCTATTTACTCTGGCACTGTGCCAGGAAGGGAGAAAGTAAATAAATAGCCTCTTTATGCTCAGAAGTTTCAAGGAATGGTGAAATGGTCGGAAAAATAGATGGTGATATCTGTTACTTGTGTCCTAAGTGATCTGATCAACGTGCACTGCTTTTCACGGCAGAATGTTTATGAGCCTCGCGGTCTGAGGTGCAGGGTGGCGGGTGTCCGGGTCTCGGGAAGGTTCTCCAGCACTGAGGTGGACGTGTGCCACGGCTGGAAGCCTCACCGGGGTCCCCGCTTCTTGTTCAGGTCTGCGGGAACCCCGGCCCGCGGCAGGCGGCCCACTTCCTGCTGGCGCTCTACAGAGAGGTCACCACTCTGTACCGATTCCGCAACACAAACCTCTACCCTAAGCCAGAGGTGAGTGTCCGCGTTCCGGCGGGTGCCCACAGTCTCCGTATCTGGAAGCACTTTTCTAAAGGGAAGTAAAAGCCGCAAACACATTTTGCCCATAATTTTTCATTTTATCTAGGTTAGAAGTTCTCAACTTACTTTCTTCTTTTTTAAGATTTATTTATTTTAGAGGGTGGGGGAGGGGCAGAGGGCGACTCTGAAGCCAACTCTGCACTGAGCCAGGAGCCCAGTGTAGGATTCGATCTCATGACCCTGAGACCATGACCTGAGCTCAAATCCAGAGTCCACCGCTCAGCCAGCTAAGCCCCCGGTGTCCCCAGCTAGCTTATGTGGAGGAACGACTTGCTGTGTCACCCAGAACTTTCAGAATTACGATCAAAAACAAAGTCAAGAGTGTGAGAAACTGTCTGAGCTAGTCCTGGAGTGTGGGCGGCTGTGCTGGCCGGCGAAGTGCTCTGGTCTGGGCAATCGCGCCCCCCCACGCCCCCTCCCCCCGCCACCCCAGCCGCATTCCCTCCATATCTGATAAGTAGTCACATGTATGCCTGACCTGAAAGCAACTGTGTCTTCACATCACATTCTTCTTTGATACATTTTTCAATGCTAAAACGTTTTTCCCATCAGCAATGTGAGGTTCTACACAAGTTCATCGAGGAAAGCAACGTCCTGTCTTCTCCAGACATGAGACATTTTGCAACATCCCTCGTGAACAACACGCTGCCCCTGCTGAGGGCAGGTGCTGGGGACAGCAGCCTCGAGGGCCCAGTGGCAGAACTGGTTATTCACACTGCAGTCGTCCTCCTGTGTGGACACAGCCACCTCTTAGAGCCCCTGCAGAATCTGGCCTTCTCCCCGGCGGACATGGTGGTAAGACCGGGGTGTGGTTTCTCCTGTAGCCTGTCCCTGGTGGCCTGTGTGTCGCATGGCTCCTCTCTCTGCCTCTGTCCCTCCTGGTGCCCGAATCCGTGGTGACGGTGAGAGCCCTCGTTCTGCTTTCCCGGTGGAGAACTTGCCGGTGGAGAAGAGGGAGAGTCCAAAGTGCATGTTGTCGCCTCAGGGCACTGGCAGCCCGCCCAGTCTCTCACCTTCCTGAAGCCTTCTCTGCTTTCTGGCCTTTTCAGAGTGCTTATCTTCCCACGATGCCTGAAGACTTGCTGGCTCAAGCTCAGAACTGGAAGGGTCTGGAAGGACTCCGCTGGTATGGTAAGTGTCAGGTTCTGACACACGATCACCGTCCTCGGTGCTTTGAGCTGGGGTCCCTGTGGTTTGTGCCTCAAGGTCCCAGACTCCTGCCCTGGCCCGCCATCAGGGCTTTTGCAGCACAGGGCGCCCTGCTGACTGCAGAGGGCATGCGTCAGGGCCTTCCCAAGTCCCGTCCCGGGGGAGGGTCTGCATGTGAGCCCAGCCAGCAGCTCAGGCATGGGTCCTCTCGGCTGTTTGTGACCCAAAGATAATTGTTTTTGAAATAACAGAACTAGGAATCCAAGTAATGTAACCCATACTTTACGTAAACTTTGCTGTTGTCTGAGAAACAATCTTTCTTTTTTTTTAATATTTATTTATTTTTTTAATATTTATTTATTTTTTTAAATAGACAAAGCAAGGCCTTTCCTGGTTCTCTCTCTCTCTTTTTTTAAGTTAGTTTATTTATTTATTTCGTAATCTCTACACCTAACGTGGGGCTGGAACCCGCAATTCCAAGATCAAGAGTCACGTACTCCTCCCACTGAGCTAGTCAGGTGCCTCTGAGCAAATAACCCTTTTAAACGAATTGTAAAAGTCATGATAAAACATGCTCTTGGGGCGCCTGGGTGGCTCAGTTGGTGAAGCGTCCCCACTCTTGGTTTCAGCTCAGGTGGTGATCTCAGGATCCTGGGATCTAGTCCCGCCTCGCCCCCACTCAGCAGGAGTCTGCTTGAGATTCGCCCTCGGCCTCTGCCCCTCCCCCACTTGCGCTCGCACACATGCGCGCTCTTTCTCTCGATATAATAAATAAGGAAATAAAATCTTTTTTAAGAACCCACGCTCTTTAAAAACAAAAAGTTAAAGAGTATGAAATAGGCCAGTGCTGCCTCCCAGACGGCCCCTTCAGGAGGCTGTGATGGAGTGTTTCCCTGCTCTGTCAGGTGAAGCTACACATTGTTCTCTCTAATGTCCTTGGCCCCTACTCCATGTCTCGGTTTGGTTAGGCTGGAGAGGAGGGTGTTGGCTTTCCTTCTCCGCCTTGGGTCATCAGGTAAAACCTCACCAGCCCACGCATCTCCTGTTGTTCTTTTAACAGTGTGTCCCAATGGTCACCCGTGCACTGTGGGAGAGGTAAGTCTCGGTATTTAGGGTGGTGTTTGCAGGGCTCAAACGTTTATTCCTCTAGATCTGAGCAGAGGGACATGGGAACGGGTTAGTGAGGGTCGTGACCTTCTAGAGAACATAAACTCTTTTCAGGGCTGTTTACAGTGCTCCATCCACACATCTAAATGTGTGGAAGGCCTGCAGACCTCCCTCTGTATTGTGGGGCTGAGCACTGTGGGCTGTGTTAGGCATGCCTGGTCTCAACTCCCAGAGGCCAGGAGCTCCACAGGTCACAAGGGGGACAACAAGGGGGACAACCAGAAATGTGTCCAGACATGGCCCAAGTCCCTCTAGGAGACAAAATGGCTGCCAGCCATCCCTTCCAGCCACAGCCGCATGGGGTCAGTGACACACGCAAGGGGTTGACTGGGCCATAGGCGGGATTACAGGTGTGCTCTAGACGCCGCAGGATGGGAAAAGAGACCCTGGATGATCAGCCCCGTGGAAAGATCTGTGTGTGCCTCCCCTCTGCATCCCATAGCAGCCGGCAGGGCCCTTGGCACTGTCTCCTCTGCTAGCCCAGCAGCAGGCTGTGGAATTGAACAAAGTAAATGAGAGACCTAGAGGAGGAAGCATGACTACATACACTGCACATTTCTCAGGTTCGCCCACTTCCTCCTCCACGACGTGGGGAGAGCGAAGCACTTTCTTCCCAAGACACACTCTACTCCGACGGTCTGAGGCCCGGGGCTTGAGGCTGGTGTGGCCTGTTATGGGCTGTGATTCACAGTATACAGCAGCCCACAACCAGATTTGGAAAAATGAGGTTTTGGAAGGAGCAAATCATACGGTTACCTTTTTTTCTTTTTTAAATTAAAAAAGTCCGAACTGAGTTCAGGAATTACGTTTGGAGGCTGCGGTAGTCTCTGGGTGCTGGATGATGAAGCTGCGGTGTGGTGGTCAGGGGGCGGGGTAGAGCAATGAGCCTGAGAAAGGAAGGCTCCTTACGTGTTTGTCTGCAAAGTGTCTGGGAGTGGTCTCTCCTGCTTAAAAAGTCCACAATTACTCCCATGCACCATATTTGCATGGAGCATCTGCCCTGTGTCGTGGGGCTCCTGCAGCCACTGGCATGTGCTCGCAGTAGAGCAAACAGTCCGTGTGCCGCACGTGGATGGGCCTGCAGGGTGGCATCTGTGCGTGAAGCATGCCTCCTCCGAAACTGAGCAGGGGTACCTTTGTCTTTGTCCCAGTGTGGCAGGCCCATGGAACAGAGCCACTGTGTTGACTGCGGGGCCCTAATTGGAGGGATTAATCACAAACCCGAGACTGGATTTCAAGTTGTCAAGTATGTAAGAACGTATTTCTTTTCTAAGTGATCAAACCACGGGTGTTCAGGCTGTCTCGATCCCAGTGGACGCAGTGCTCCTGAGTGCAGTGTTAGTTACTACTGTGCATTTGGGCCTGTGTCACGTTGGATCTCAGCGCCGAGGTCCCTGCAGTCATGTCCCAGTGAGGGATCTGATCTGCTGTTGGCCGACTGGGCTCTTAAATGTAAAGCAGACCACACGTTCAAATGTCTTATCCAGATGTCCTCCGTGTGCGCTTGGGCCATGGCCCTGTAGAAATGTGCTCCGTTCACACGTGACCGGATTCAGAGGGACACTGAAGTCCACGAAGGCACAAATTGGGCTTTTGTCTATCTGAGCTCACACTGTCTCACTTGTAATCCCTCTTAGCTTCCTCCACTGTTTGTGGGATGCCAAGGAGACATGGTCCTTCTCACCAGACACTCCAGAATCCACACACATAACTGTTGTCCGTGTCCCAGCGTTCCCTCAAGATGAGCATGGCTCCCCGTGCTCCTCCAGATGGCAGATGGGGCCTACCTCTGGCCATTATACATTGTGGCTCTTTTAGGACTGTTATAGTTTAAAATACTCTAGCCTGTTATCTTCACAAACCTTCAGGAAGTTCTAGAACCTCCAGTATTTTTGCAACAGAGTGTATCTCTCATACTGCGCTTCCCACCTGGGTGTGATATGAAATTCTTTGCCAGGCCTTCAGTCACAGTTTTCAGTTTGGAAAAATGAGATCGATACACACACGTCCTGATGTTGATGTCACCCGTCCCGAACTCTGGCCATCCTTAGCCTGCCTGCTCCCCTCCCCATGATGATTTCAGTGGGAAAAGCAGGTGCAGACCTTGGCCTGACACATGGCCCAGGGATCGCACAGATAGGCACTCGGTTCAGCTGTTTCACACTGAGAATGTTGTGGGCTGTGTTCAGACAGAAGGGGGAGGCCAGATGGAAGACGCTGAGGCGAGATGTCTGGGTTTAGGAGGACAAGTCCTGGAACACCATTTTCTTCAAAACGGCGGTCCTCATCTCCAACTCCCAGGAATCTGGGGTGTGCCCCTAGGGCTGAGGAAAGATGACCGTCTTCTGTCTCCCCCCGTCTTCTCTCGTCCAGTAACAGCACAGACAGAACCCAGAAGGGCCATGTGCTGGGAGCCCCGCTGTCCAGAGGCGAGGCCATGGTGTCTGACCGAGAGCTGTCCCCAGTGGTCTTCCAGCTCGTCCGGCTGCTCACTCACCTGGCCCTGCTCCTGGGAGCCGCTCAGAGCCCTCAGGTACAGTATGGCTTGTTCCTGCCAGGCTGTGTGTTTGCTCATTCATTTTGAACAACCCACTGTAGATTTTTCAGTGAGTCCTTTTGTCTACAGAGTGCTGGCCACCTCCCGTGGATTAGGACACCTCCTCTGTCACTGTTCCCTAAGCCACCAAACAGTAGAACATTCACATGTCCTCCTTTCCCCACTGTGGCATATGATGGTGTTGGGGAACTACCCATCACGTTACATAAAGTGCATTTTATTTATTGATTTGGACAGAGGGCACAGAGGGAAAGGGTAGAGGGAGAGGGAGAACCCCAGGCAGACTCCACACTGAGCAGAGAGCCTGACCTGGGGCTCCATCTCACAGCCCTGAGATCATTACCTGAGCCAAAACCAAGAGACAGACGCTCAACCGAGTGAGCCACCCAGACACCCTTAAGTCCATCTTGAATGAGCACCCCATGACTGCGCGCACCCAGGAGCGGAGAGGCTCCCGTAACCCTGGTTACCTGCTTCCTCATTGTCGCTCTGGGAGGAAACACATGTCTCCTCTGAGTGGATTAACTGTGATAGCAAACGTTAAGGCTTTGAGATTCTTTTATTTTGGGCTTTGTACACAGTGTAGCTTTAATGAGTCCGGTGAGGCTATTCCCACGTAAGGTTATGAACATGCATCTTTTTTTTTTTTTTTTAATTTCTTTTCAGTGTTCCAGAATTCATTGTTTATGCAACACACCCAGTGCTCCATGCAGTCCGTGCCCTCCTTAATACCCCCCACCAGGCTCACCCAGCCTCCCACCCCTGCCCCTTCAAAACCCTCAGGTTGTTTTTCAGAGTCCACAGTCTCATGGTTCCACTCCCCCTCCGGTTCCCCTCAACTCCCTTCTCTCCAGCTCCCCATGTCCTCCGTGTTATTCCTTACGCATCTTGATGAAGGAAGGCGTGGTTGAGAGATGGGTTTTGAGGAGTTAAGAACAGAGCTGCCAGACTGTTCGCGCTGACGATGTCCCAGGCAGTCGCTCCCAGACTGCGGTCACTCCTGCTGCTCTGCCTCCTCCGCCTTCTCTGAGCGGTGCTCCTGCCACCACACGGGCCTCCTCTGAGACGCGGCCTCTGCCTCGGTGCTGGCGTCCCTGCCTGGGGCCTGCGCAGGTGCGCCGGCTCCCCATGCGAGCTCGTGTGTCTCGCCCTCACAGGCTCTCCTGAACATCATCAGGCCCCCGGTGCAGGACCCCAGAGGCTTCCTGCAGCAGCACATCCGCAATGACCTGCAGCAGCTGACCAGGACGCTGGGGAAGACCGCCGATGAGACCGTCACCGTGGTGCATCTCGTGCTCTGCAGCCTTCTCCCAGGCCAGCACCACCGCATTGGATGGAGTGAGCGCAAGGGCCGGCAAGGGGCGGGGGGTAGTGGAGGGCGGCGATGCGGAGTCAGATAAAGGGAAGCCAGGAGAGGCCCGTGGAAGAGAGCACAGGAGGACAGCTCGGCTCAGCTTGCGTTTCCCCTACCAGGTTCAGACCCGTGACACCTGTGTGGTCGTGTGCACAGGGGTGTTCCCTGTGCGTGCACGGGGGAGGCTTTGCGCTTTCAAAAGCCAGCCTGGTGTGCAGCGCCCCTGCTGCACGAGGGACGTGTATGGTCCAGGACGGGCGATGTGTGAGTCATCACCGTCAAGAAACCAGTGGCTGGTGATCTGTTGGGACTTGTCCTTCTTGGACCCCTGGCTTGTCTGCGGGTCCTTCTGCTTTTCCTAAGGACACGGCTGTCCAGGGCTACCTGGCCGCGTTGACATGTCTGCAGTTTGCCGGATGGAAAAGTAGGCTACAAACCATTGCGGTCACTCAGCTGATGTTCCCATTTTTAAAACTGAAATCTGTAAAAAGGAAAGTTCCGTAACATAACTTAGTAAAATGGTTCTCTGGCACTGAGATTTGACTTTATTTTTTTTTATTGTATCTTCGCAAAGATCATGGGGTTGGCGGGAGCAGCAAGGACCATTTTTAAGTGTTCAGGTTAATTTAGGAAGATGAGCCCTGCCCATCCCTGAAAAGGAGTGCAACTTGGTCACCTTTAGGTCCTGTTCATGGGGCTGCTGTGCTTTCCATTCCGTGGGTAACCCATCATGTTTCCTGGCAGGGCCTTTTGGTTTCGATGCAAGGCTGGCAACCAGAGAGCAGAGAAAGAGCTGGGAGAAAGCCATACAGACCCTCATTCTCCCCGAGCTGGAGGTATGTGGCCAGCGGCCCTGCTGGAAGCCTAAGGGCCGGTATCCTGGGCGTCCCCCAGGCACTCCGGCCAGCATGCCTCACAGAGGTGCTGTCAGGGGCTCTGGCTGAGCCCCAACCTATGGGTTGACTGCCCAGCCACTCCGCTGTCCTGCTGTCCTCTCACCCTCTGCCCCTAAGGCCGGACGGGCAGGTTGGGACGTTATTGTAAGTCCGGAAAGTGCACGGGGCTTCCGCTCCCCTGCCTTTTACAGCAGGACATGAGAGCAGCAGGTAGACAGACCCTCACCAGAAATGCGTACTTTGTCCCTCCTCTGTCAGATGACAACAGCACTGAGAGTAAATAAGCCCAATGGGGAATAAAAGTCAGTAAAAGACTGGGCGTAAAACACAGGTCTAGGAGTCTCCTGTGTGCGGAGACAAAGCCTGCAAACAGCGAACTGTGAGCGGTCTCGAGAGACAAGGAATGTGAGTGCCTGGTCACGTGCTGGACCCAGTAGGGCAGACTCCCTAAGTGGCCCGCTGCTGAAGCCACCGGGTATCCCCCTCTGTGCAAGTGGTCTCACCTCCAGGCCCTGTGCCGTCCTCTCACCCAGCATCTGGAGAAAGCCCTGCCGAAGGTGACGGCCCTCATCAGCAAAGACGAGCGGATCAGCTCCAACCCTGTGGCCAGAATCGTGTACGGTGACCCGGCGGCCTTCCTGCTGCAGCTGCCCCGGAAGAGCGCAGTCCACTGCTCTAAGATGTGGACCTGCAGGAGGAGGGTCACGGTGCAGTACCTCCAGCACGTGGTGGAACAGAAGAACGGCCGGGAGACCGTGCCCATCCTCTGGAAGTTCCTGCAGAAGGTGAGGCCGCCCCACTGTGAGCACGCACCCATGTCCCCCGTGCGCGTGACGGCCGCCTTTGGTCGGTCAGTGGACATCTGACTGGCGACGTCAGGGCTTCGCTTTTCTGATGGAACGCCGGGAGCACAAGACTCGGCGTCGGGGGGTGGGGGTCTTTGTACACGTGAGACCGTGAGGTGGTTTGAACCATAAAGTCACAGAGGAAGAGAAAACCCCATGCGGGTCAGGGTTGGCAGGAGTCTGTGAAGCACGGGAGGGCCAGGACTGCATCTCCCCGGTCACTCAGCAAGGAAGAGCAGGACTCAGACCTTCCGGGCGGTGTCCGTTCACCTTCACCCCTGACCCGCAGTGCCAGGAGTTGAGTGAAAAGACTTTCACCAGCCCAGAATCTCCCCTGTTGCCAACCCAGCCTTGGGAGAGGGGAGTGTGGTAAGTCAGTCCCATCGGTTAAGCCATAAACATACCCGTGCCGGCCTTGTTCCATGTGAAGCCTCCTCTTTCTCAGTCGTCTGTCGAGCCCGTCCCCCTGGACCAGCGTTTACAGTCCGGCAAGAAGTGTGGGGACTCAGAAATGTCTGACGGTGGTGAAAGGGCAGGAGTTCCTGTGGGAAGGCTTTCCTGGGTCTCCCGGGAGGCGCCCGTCCCATTCGACTGGAGATTAGGGTCCCGTCCTCAGAGGACTCACAGGAGGGATCCCAGGCCTGGTTGCCTGTGTGCCCGGCCTTTCCGCTCCTCACAAGGGCCCACAAGACAGATTTCTTTCATGAGTTTTTGGCAAATACACCTGATGCGTCCACTCCAGGAGGCCAGGGACTGTCCCTGGTGTGCAGGACATTTGGCACCCAGGCGGTGGGCTCTTGGTGAATGACGAACAGCCACTTCCCGTGTCTGAGGAGCCTGATGCGGCATTGCGTGACACAGCACGTTGCCTGGGCCCAGTGCAGACGCAAGCCCTGAGCCAGCCCCAGTCCGCTTCCCCGGGAACGTGTTCAGGAGAACTGACGCGTGGCCGGGCTTCCCTCTCCAGGAGGCAGAGCTGAGACTCGTGAGATACTTGCCGGAGATTTTGGCGCTGCAGAGGGATCTCGTGAAGCGGTTCCAGAACGTTTCTGAAACTGAGCACCAATCTATCAGATCTTTCGTTAGCAGCCACCACAAAGGTATGGGTCGGCACCACCCGTGTTTGGTGGCTCGAAGGGACCGCTGCAGCGGGGCTGGGAGAGGCGCAGTTGGGCTCTGCGCCTCTGGTGGGGCGGTGGTGGGGTGGGTGTTTGCATGGGGCTCTGAGCAAGCGCTTTGTCTGACAGACGGGGTGAAGCAGGTGCTGCACAGGAGGGTCGGCGTCTTTCTGTCGACGTGGAATAAGCTGAGGAGGTCGCTTCAGACCAGTGGTAGGTGCCGCACTCCCTGCGCCTGCCCGACTCAGCCCTGCACTCGCGCTTCCTCTGACCCTCTGAGTGGAGGTGTCCGGGACACGTGAAATGACGTACCGGGAAGACTGAGTCCCCACTCATCCTGGCGTGTCTGTGGACTCGGGAAAGAGTTGAGAACATCGGAGCCAGTCGGTGCAGGGGAGAGGCGGGAGGTAGAATGTCAGCGTGTCCCCGGCTCCGGCCTTGACACGGTGGGAGCTGCGGCAGCGACTGAGGAGGCCTGTCTGCTGAGAACCCCCGTCCTCTCAAGGTGAGATCAAGCTGCCGGAGGACTACTGTGCCGCCGACTTAGACGCGGACACCAGTTTCGAGGTCCTGCTGCCTCGTCGCCGCGGCCGGGGCCTCTGTTCCACCGCGCTGGCCAGCTACTTGATCAGCCTGCACAACGAGATGGTGTACGCCGTGGAGAAGTTCTGTGGCGGGAGCGGCAGGTGGGTGTGCGGCTGCAGGGGTACCACTCTGCCAGCGCGAAGTGGTTTCAGCACCGGCTCACCCAGGGCCTCCGGGCCGCCAGTGTGGATGTGAGCGCCGAGCCGGCAGCTTCCGTGCCTCAGCCAGGCCCTCGGGTCCACAGGCCCCAAAGCGCACTCGTCTGCTCGGACCGCACTGTCCACTTGGAGTCGGCTCCGTGTCGCCCAGAGCCCCGGGCCACGTGTGCGTGGGGGGACACTGAGTGCCGTGCTCCGCTGTTCCGCAGCTACTCCATCGACACCTCCGAGGTCACAGACCTGCACGTCATCAGTTACGAGGTCGAGCGGGACCTGATGCCGCTGATTCTGTCCAACTGCCAGTACCGGGTGGAGGAAGGCCAGGAGACCCTGCAGGAGTTTGACCTGGAGAAGATCCAGCGCCAGGTCACCAGCCACTTCCTGCAGGGCAAACCCAGGCTCACTCTCAAGGTATGGCTGACCCCAGGTGTTAATGGGGCGACACTATTCTGTGAACGTTGGCCCACGTGTGGCTTTTACCCAGCAGTTTCAGAGTGAGCTGGGAGCGGGGATGACCGTCCAGTCGCACGTCCCTGCAGAGGCCGGGACTCTACTCCTGGCCGTACCTCGCGCCCATCAACCCTCTTGAGTTGCCTCTAAGCTTCTACCTCCGCGTCCCCGCAGGTCCCAGCGGACCCGCAGTCGCATTTGTCCACTGTAGTAATGGCGCTGCCTCCCGCCCCGACGGCGCTTGGTGGCTGCCATGTTCCGTTTCCTCTCTACACACAGCCTGTCACCCGGCACCTCGGGTGACCCGTGTAGCTGCCACAGCCCCAACTTCCGCGCCCAGCATGTGTCCCAGGTGTGACTGCTGCAGCAGTGACTCCCGTCACTCCCTGGTGACAGCCCGACCACGACGGGCATCCGGTGCACGTGGGGTAAAGCCCATGCTCGTCCCAGCCTGACTCTAGCCGCTTCTCGCAGACGGCGTGGACTCCCGTGACCTCGCACACCAGACCGCCCTCCCTCCCTAAACACACGGTGTCCCTTCACGTCTCTGTTCCTTCACCTGGGCTGCTCCTGTTCCTTCCAGGTCTGGTCAGAGACCTTGTACTTGGTGGGGGCAGGAGGGTGCTTCCTCACTGCCTGCGGTCATGCTCTGAACTGTTGGCACCCGGGGCCTCCTGATCTAGCTCTGCCATCCTGTTTAGTAGAGGGACTGCCTTGGGTGAGGCTGTGCCTGTCATGTTCAGGGAGGGCCCCATGTTCCTGTGTCCCCAGCAGCTCGCAAGCTCACAACATCCTACATGAGGCGTCCGCGTGGCCATCGAGGCAGGGCCGGGTCCCTCGTTGTGTTATTGATTCCATAGACTGTGGGTCAGATGCAGACATCACAGGGCCGCAAATCTGCGTGCTCTGCCCAGCGGTGCGCTGACGGCGCGGGCCTGCTGCGGGGTTCCCACTCAGGAAACCTCCACGGGCTTCCGTTTCCAGAGTCTGTTTTCTCTCTCAATTCAGGGAATACCCACTCTGGTGTACAGACGGGACTGGAACTATGAGCGTCTGTTCACGGACATCAGGAACAAGATGCCACAGGTGATCGCGACACCCCGATCGTGTGCGTGGTGCTTTCACCTGGTCGCGCGCTCCCTTCCCGCGGGGGCTCCGCAGCCTCGCTCCGGGCACCACGGAGGGTCTCCCCGAGTTCCCTGGGCCCACTGCTCTTTCCAGAGGGCAAGCAGGACGCAAATCAGAAGCATGCTTGTTGAAACCCTGCTTTCGTTTCTTGGTAACGATGTCATGACCGCGTGTGCCGATGCAGAAGATCCAGAGAACTGATTTGTTCCGCTCTCTGGGTTTCTGTGGTGGGGTGTGTACCTGGCGTGTGTGTCCGTGTGAGTGTGCTCACGGAGCTGCTGTGAGGACTCGGTGACTTCACGTCTGTTTCTGTGAAGGGTCTGGAATACCGCTGCTACGTACGAGTCGCTAAGTGTTCGCTGTCATTATTGTTAAGGGGTCATCCCCCCTGTGGCTTGGCAGTGAACAAGGTTTTAAGTGCTCTTGTCAGGTAGCCGTGCCCAGGAAGCCCCAGCCATGGACCCCTGTCCTGTCTTTGATTTCCCAGAAAGCCCTCCCGCACTCAGCCGTCAGCGCCATCTGCGGGCAGCTGCTGTCCTACAGCGAGGTCTGCGAAGCTCTGTCCGTCATCGAAGTCGCTCTGGGGTTTCTGAGCACAGCTGGCGGCAACCCGAGCCTGTCCTTGAACGACTACGTCCGAGACATGCTGCGCATGGGCGACCAGACAGCCCTCGCTCTGCAGGTGGGTCTCGGCTGGGGCTCCCTCGCAGCTGAAGCCACACTGCCCTCCCCACTTCCTGCCAGCGTTAGTGCCTCTCAAGGCCTCCCCAGAAGGCGCTCTGGCTAGAGCCAGAGATGCGTCCGCAGCGGGAGACTCTGAACGCGGCTGGCCACAGACGCGCCCGCGGCTCGCCCACCGGGGCCGTCCCCGCAGCGCGAGTGCAGGCTCTGAGCCGGCGCCTGCGGCGGGGGGTGGGGGGGCAACACTCCAGAAGTCAGGCGCACGGCTGGTGCACGGGTGCGGGAGGCGTCTGTGTCCGTGGAGAGGAGGATCCGTCGCGCGGGAGCACAGGCGCCACCGCACCCACCCACTGGTTCCCGCTCAGCCCCGCACCCTGCTCAGGAGCCCGTTGCGCTTTCAGGCCTTCCAGACGTGCCAGCTGAAGCACGCCATCGCCCTCTGGCAGCTCCTTTCGGCCCACAGGTCGGAACAGCTGCTCCGGCTGCGGAAGGTGAGTACAGCCCCGCCGGACGGGGGCCGCCCCGCCGCCTCCCAGCCTCCCACTGCCTCTGTTCTGGTTTGTTCCAGGAGCCCTTCCGGGATATCAGTGCCCGGTACAAAGTGGGTCTCAGCCCAGAAGATGCTAAGTGCCTCGGCATTTTCCTGAATCAGACGGACCTCGACTCCTTCCTCCTGGAGCTTCATGAAATGATGATCTTGAAACTGAAGACCCCCCAGGCGGAAGACGACTTCAAGCCCGAGTGGAGGTACGGAGGGGTTCATCCACACGCGGGTGTCCTGCCGTCTCTCCCGCGATCGTCTCCGTCTTCCACAGACACGGAAGATCCCGCCTCACCTCAGAAGCCCGCGCCCCGCTGTTTTACTCCCCCCAGGCCCCCCGCAGGCTGGCCTTCTGGGTGTGGTCTCTGTTGGGTTTCTTAAAATAATTACAAAGTCCTGTATTTTCATCATAGCAAGTGTACTTATGTCAGAGATGTGCATCTTATTTTAAGTTTTCCTCCTTTTGTTGACGTGTAATTAACACAGCGTCACGTTAGTTCTCGGTGCGCAGTGTGGCGCTTCCGCGGCTCTGAACCACGCTCCGCGCTCCTTGAGGCTTGTGTGCGTTAACCCCCGTCGCCTGTCCCGCCTGCCCCCCGCCCCGCCTGCCCCTGGTGACCACTGTTGGTTCCCTAGAGCTAAGAATCTAGTTTTCTTTGTTGTTGTTTGCTTTTTTTCCCTTTGTTTATCTGGTTCGTTTCTTCAGCTCCACAGATGAGTGATAACACGCGCGGTTTGTCTTTCTCTGACTGACCGCTCAGCGTGGCACTCTCTGGCTCCGTCCACATCGTTGCAAATGGCGAAATTTCCTTCCTTTTGATGACTAATATTCCACTGTGCACATATATATACTGTAACCTCTTTTTTAAATTTATTTACGTTCAACTAATTTACACAGAGTGAACTATTAGTTTCAGGGACAGAGGTCAGTGACGCGTCGGTTGCTCACAACACCCAGTGCTCATCGCATCCCGTGTCCTCCTTAGTGCCTGTCACCTGGTGTCCTCGGCCCCCCAGCCCCACCCCTCCAGCCACCCTCGGCCTGTTTCCTGTGGCTAAGGGTCTCTCAGGGTTTGTCTCCTCTCTGATTCCGTCTTTTTTTATTTTTCCGTCCCTTTCCCTTTGCTCGTTTGTTTTGTTTCTTAAATTCCACCTGTCACTAGATCATATGATAGCTTTTTCTCTGACTGACTTATTTTGCTCACCATGATACCCTTGAGTTCCACCTGCGTCGTTGCAGACGGCAAGAGTGCATTTGTTTTGATGGCTGCGTAGTACTCCCATCGTGTATATGCACCACCTTTTCCTTGTCCATTGTCTGTCCATGGACATCTGGGCTCTTTCCATAGTTTAGCTACTGTGGACATTGCTGCCATGAACATTGGGGTGCAGGCGCCCCTTCAGATCACTATGTTTGTATCTTCGGGGTAAATACCAGTAGTTCAAAGAACATCAGTGTGTGCAGGTATGTGCCAGACAGCGGAATGGAAGGAAACCGCAAATACGAAGTAATGCTAGTGAGGGGAGCTGGGATTAGATTATCTGTTTAGAAAAACAGGAATCAGGCGCCTGGGGGGCTCAGTTGGTTAAGCGTCTGCCTTCAGCTCAGGTCATGATCTCAGGGTCCTGGGATCGAGCCCCGCATCGGTCTCCCTGCTCAGCGGAGGAGCCTGCTTCTCTCTCTCCCTCTGCCTGCCTCTCTGCCCGCTGCTTTTCCTACTTGTGCTCTCTGTGAAAAAAATAAATAAACATCTTTAAAAAAGAAAGGGAGGGAGATAGAGGAAGGAAGGAAGAAAGAAAAGAAAGCCACACCAACGTGTTGTATGTGAGAATGCCCAACACTGGATATTATCCGTCTTTAACATTTTTACCAATCTAATGGCCAAATAAAGATCTCATTTTCACTTGTATTTTCCTACTCCCTAGTGAAGCTGCCAGTTTTGTATCTTCCTCTGAATTATCTGTCATGTTTGCTTTGGGCTGTTTACCTTTTATCATAATCTTAAAGGATTGAAGATTAACTTTTTGTTTGTTATGTTACAAATGCTCTACCTTGGTCTTTAATTTCAGAAAGTTAGATCTGACCATTTTTCTATCAGGACTAGGAAAATACAGCCGTACGGGTCTTCCTCACCCGAAGGTTGTAAAGCATTCTGCCGTGTTTTCTTCCTGTGGTTTATAGTTTCATGTTGTACGTCTGCTGTGTTAACCAGGCTATGTTTTATGTGTGATGGGAGGGATTTACCATTCCTGTTTTTCTTTCTTTCTTTTTTTTTTTTTTAAAGATTTTATTTATTTGACAGAGACACAGCGAGAGAGGGAACACAAGCAGAGGGAATGGGAGAGGGAGAAGCAGGGAGCCCGATGTGGGCTTGACCCCAGGACCCTGGGATCATGACCTGAGCTGAAGGCAGACTCAGCCGACTGAGCCCCCCAGGGGCTTTGAATGGCGAGGCTATGCGCTCATGTAGCAGGTCACGTTAGCAGAGTGCTTACAGGACCGCGACCCCGCCATTCCCGGTGTCAGCTCTGTGCTGTGCTGTTTGTACGGCGCAGTGCAGTGAGCAGCGGGTGCGTCCTGGAGCCCCGCACTGCAGGTTCTAGTCCCCGCTCAGGGACTCAGTAGTTGGTTCACTTGACTTTGACGGTCTCCACAAGCACTTGGGGACTATGACGACCCTGGTGGTGTCCTTGCATGATATGGGAGACGCTTAACCCTCTGCCTCTTGTTCCTTGGTTTTTCAGCCTGAGAGACACTCTGGTAAGTTACATGGAAATCAAAGACAGTGAAATTCCTCCTGAACTACAATTCCAGTTCCCCGAGAAGATACTGCTGTGCAGTTGTGTCCCCGTGTGGAGCATGGCCGCTGAGCTGAGGTGGGCTCGGCAAGTGAAGTAGACTCTGCTCCACCAGCCTCTGCCACCGGCCACCCCGGCTGGGGCTTCCTGGGGGGCCGCAGGACCCCCGTGTGCTGCACCGCGGGTGGCCAGGAGGGCCACGCTGCTTCAGGGAATGTGCACATTTCTCCTCGGATTGTGAGTGCTGCGCATGGGGAAGGGAGAACCGGAGACGCCGTGAAACCAGAACCGAGCACCCTTCCATTCTCTGGGGCACCAGGCACGTGCTCCCCAGTGTCCCGTGACAGCGGCGGATGGGGCCTTCAGCTCGCCGGCTGGAGACTGACACGCACCCACCCCGGCCCCTCTCACTCCAGAAAGGCGGGGGAAACAGGGCTATTGATTTTGCTTCTGTTTTCCTTCTCATTTATTCTGCACTTGGAGGAGACCCGGATTGTTTCTTCCTTCCCGTCCCTTCAGCCCTGCGTGTGGTACACGTATTTGTAGACTCCGTGAAGGTGTAAAAAAGTGCCAGACCCTTTTCTGTGTCCTTCTAAAATACAAGTCAGCATGTTTTGTGAGTGCCTTAGGCCAAACCTCCCAGCCCTCACGCAGCCCCGCCCCGGCCAGTTGTCACGGGTCAGAACTTTCCTCGTGCACGCAATTAAGAGACTGGTGGTGTGGCCAGATTCGCTTTTGATTCTGGGGGTTTTAAATTCTGAATTAAAGTTTATCAGTTAAACTTGGGTCAAAGTCTTGGTTCTGGCATTTTCCTGGGAACTTTTGGACTGGCCAGCATCATGCTAAATAAACATGTGGTCTTGATGGGACCTCCATGTCCCCAACATGTGACTATCTGGTTCTTCCTCTGAGCTCAGCCACGCCATAAAAACAGACTGAGAGAGAATACAGAACCAGCTAAGTTTCTGAAAAAGGAAGAAGAGAGTAGTCGATCAGCTCTGATCTTGGACCTCTTTTCTTCCTGGGAGGGTCATGTCTCTTTTGCACGATGTCCTCGGACACTTGTGGTCTCTGGCCTGCCTGACTCCTGCCCCCGGGGGGCTCAGCGCCTTTAGCACGGAGATGCCCGCTGTTCACGAGTCAGAGGCGGACGTCTTCCGTATACAGTGCCCATGAGTGAACGACTATCAGCTTGAAATCAGGCCCTGGGGTGCGAGCTGCAGGAGCGAGAATGCTGCCAGGACTGCTGTTGACCCTGCAGCTGCGGCGGAGGGAGCAGCAGGCGGAAGAAGCCGCCCCCGTCCTCTTCCGTGTCTGAGGAAGGGGGCGCGGGAATCCAGACCCCTCCGCGGTTCATCTGATACAACAGCCCCTTGCACTGAGGAACCTACGATTGTTCCGTCATTCTACGCTATGCAAAGGCCCCCCCCCCTTCCACCTGGATTGCCCATGTCATTGGGGGGCGTCTTCAACTCCTCGACTTACACTTGGAATTCCTTTGACACCTCGAAGCTGGGACGGAGCCGGTGTGGCCCTCAGGTGCCGCTCTGGGTCCTCGCTGTGCCACACCTCCACGGGCAGAGTCAGGCGTCGGTCTTGTGCTGTGAAACTTTTTTTTGGCTGGGAGTTTTTCCCCCACAGTTTTACGTAGCATTTTTTAACGAAGGTATTTTGTGTGCTATGCTTTCGAAGCCTTAACTGTCGTATCTAGCATTATCTTGTTGGTACAGAAATACACTGGCTTAGCACAGGCAAATATAAATTTTGTTATATTTGTTTTAATAAACTTGAGTTTTGCTGCTGAAGAATCTTCTTCTTTGAGGGCGGAACTTCTGGGTGTGGCAAGTAGACACCAGCTCAGCCTCGGGGGACGGTCTGGGTTTTTTGTAGACCTTCCACTTGGAAGGTTCCAGACAGCAAGTGTTCACTCTGGTGTAGAAGGTGGGAGGTAAATTTTCATCAGGACCAAATGACCGCAGAGGTGGGGATCCCTAGTTGGCCACCACTCGCCAGGCGCCACACTCCGGGGGCAGGACCCGCAGCCTCGGCGTCAGAGGGGCTGACGCGCACGGCCCCGCCCGAGATGCCTTCGCCGGATACGCCGCGCTGCCACTGAGGTGTGAGCACTGGGCCCACGGTCGGGTTGCGGGATGGGAACAACAGTTCCTCTGTAAAAGGGAATAAAGATACGCGAGGGATGAACGGTCAGCAGCCCGCTTCCATTTGAGTGGTAAAACACCACCTGGGGGAGAACTGCATTTTCTCTTCCCAACGGAAAGGCCCCTCCGGGAGAGAACCTGTGGGCGTCCGGAGGAAGGCCTGCCCCTGCTGTCAGACCCCTCTTTCAGCCGCAGTTTGTTTCAAGCCCACCGACCCGTCCCCTGCCTGCTCGTGTCCTCAGTGACCACCACCTTCCCCCTCCTTGCTCCCGTCTCTGATGGCCTCCAGCCACCGGCACACTTCCCGGTTGCAGCTCCTACTTTTCAGCCCAGGCAGAGACGCTCACTCGGCTGGCGGTGATTCACCCGAAAACCGTCATGACTGGTCGCCGTCTCCTCTTTAAGACCTTGGTGTGTGTGCAAATGATGTACATGTGGTCCCGGGCTCCTCCGTTAACTGAGACAGCCGTGAGATGTGTCGGGGATTCCTGGGTTCGGGCAACGCTTTCCAAGCCCTTCTCGGTCACTAATTAAGCTTGTGCACAAGCACTGTGGGTCCCAGCTCCAACTGGAAAGGCAGCACCAGGAAATGGCAAGTGCTGACCTCACCTCATCAGGGGCCTGGGGAGAGCAGGACCCTGCTTGCTTCTAAGGAGGTGGGAGGATTCGGGGGAGACATCGAGGCAAGAGCAGAGAGAAGTGGAGGGAAGGGTCCCAGCTGGAGCCCACACGGTGCCACCCCAAGGCCTGGCACATCCTACACACACCTGCCCCCGACCCTGCCCCATTCCTCCACACCCAGCCTGATGAGTGCGCCACGGGCCCAGCATTCCCCGCCCCCCCGACTGCCTGTACCCGGAAGTATGGCAGAGCCTCCGCCCAGAGCCACGTTGGCTCCAGCTCAGCAGGCCCACGAATGGCCCCCAGTCACCCAATCCAAGGCCCTTCTCATCCACACCGCGTGTGCCACGACAAGGCCCATGCACAACACGTCCCAGGCGGACCCCAGCACGAATCTGGACATTCCCGTTTGCCAGTTCTATGGCCTTGAGCAAGCCCTTGACCTCTTTAAGCCCCGACTTCTCGGTGTGTACAACACCTCAGTGCTGTGGCAAGAGAAGATAGTGCGGGGAGACGACAGGGCACCGTGCCTGGGGTGCAGTGGCACCCAAAAGTGGTCCTCATTACTTCTCCCTGCTGGACACTTGCCCATCTTTCAAGGCCCTGGCAGCTGTGAAATGCTCTGGCACGCCTTTCCTGAACCGCGGATGCCCATGTCTCCTGTCGCAGTCTGTATTCAGACCGTTCCTATCCACACACTCCTCTGATCCGCCAGTAGGACACACATCATGGGTCAAATGCCTCCATGTCAGCTTCGCGGGCCGCCTTCTCTGCCTCAGATACACCAACGTCTTGCCTACCACAGGACCCTTGCACGTGCTGTGCCCTTTGCCCGGGCTCCTCTGCGCCCCCAGAGAGGGCTTCCCCACGGCGGGCATCAAGTGGGCTGGCCCCTCCTGGTCCGCGCCGCAGGCATGCCGCAGCCACGCGAGGACGCCGTGACCCCCGCGCCCAGCACGAGGGGGGCACAAGGGAGCGCGGAGTGAACGTGCGTCCCGCAGAGGAGCTCGGAGTCCACGCTCCGACGGCTGTCCGCGGGCAGTGTGGCGGTGACCCACGGGTCTGGCCCGGGGACGGCCGCGTCCTGCTCTCAGGACGTTCACCGAGGCCGCTGGGCCGGAAGTCGCAGTGCCGGCGGCGGGGCTGCTGCTCGGTGGCGGGGTCCGAGCGGGAGCCTCGGAGTGCGGAGAAGGCCGGGAGGGAGGGAGAGCCGGTCCCGCCCCGCGCCCCCGCGCGCACAGCACACCTCCCGGTGCCCGGAACCTGCGGCCGGCGCCCTCCCCGGTAGCGGGCAGACGGCGCTGTGCCAGCCGCCCTGCTGCCGCCCCGCCCTGCCCGCAGCCAGCCCCGGTCCGCCCACCCCTCGGCGTCGCGGCCCTCTGCGCGCTGCCCCAGCCTTCGCCCTGACGGAGACTCCCGCGCACGCGCTCGGACTCCCCGCTTCGCGGCTCCGCTGAGCCTCCCGCCACTAGGCGGCGGCGTCCGGAAGCACACCGTCCGACCCCGAGCCCAGCCCGCCGCTCCGAGCCCACGAAGACGGCCGGGCGCCTGCGCGCGGGCCTCCGGAAGTGACGCAAGCCGGAAGCGACACCACCGGAAGGGGCGCTTGCGGGGCGCGCCATGGCCAAGGAGGCCGAGGTGCGGCCGCCTGAGGAGACTTTGTCGCTCTGGAAACGGTAATGTGGTTGGCTGGCTGCCAAGTTTTGGGGTTTGGAGTGACTTTGGGGCTGCGGGGGCCCGTCCCGCTTCCTGTGCGCAGACGAACGGTGCTTCGGAAGTTGTAGTCCGTGAGGTCAGCGGGGCTTGCTTCCGGCGCCGGGTCTCGGTGCGGGGGGAAGAGGAGGTCTAGACCGCGGAGGGGGTGTTCCGGGATGGGACCCCCGTGTCGGGGGTCGGGACCGCGGAGGGGGCGTCCCCGGGCCGGGGGTTCGGGACCGCGGAGGGGGCGTCCCCGGGCCGGGGGTCGGGACCGTGGAGCTGGGGCCCCCGAGGCCGGGCTCCCCGGGAAGAGGGTGGTGAGACCGGGAGTGCCCCAGGGAAGAGCCTCAAGCCCCCGCCGCCCCGGACCCGGACGTGCGGGGTCCGGAGTCCGCTGGACGTGTGTCGCCCTCAGGGAGCAAGCCCAGCTGAAGGCCCTCGTCGTGGACGGAGACACGGAGGCGTGGCAGCGGGACGCCGCCTTCTCGGGGCTGCGGAGGGTCGGGGGCGTGGACGTGTCCTTCGTGAAGGGCGACAGCGTCCGCGCCTGCGCGTCCCTGGTGGTGCTCAGCTACCCCGAGCTCGAGGTAACCCCGCGCGGCGCCCGCAGAGCCCGCGTCTGCTTTCGTGGGTTCCCTGAGCGGGTCGGGAAGCCTTTGCAGAAGGACGGAGCGAAGTAGAAACGGGGGAGGCTTCGTGACCTGACGTCTGAGTCACTCCGGTCTCCGCTTCGGGTCCACCGCGTCCTGCGTCCCATCCCCGTGACCCGCAGCCCTGCGCCGGAGCTGCCCCGGCTGGGCGTCCGCGTGTCCCCATAGGCCCACGCACACCTTCAGCTCCGCCCTGTCCCGCGCTGGCTCCGTTTCGCCCTTCCTGGGTGTTCAGGAATCTGCCCCCGGCTGCGCCCCGTCCCCCTTCCTTCAGCCTCCCGGGGTTTCCTGCCTTCTGCCATGCCCGCTGCGACCCTCCCCGTGCTGCCAGCGGCGCGACTGTCCTAAGGGACTCCGCCTGGCTCGCTCCGAGGTCGGTGTCCGCTCTGTGGCCGCCTGGTCCCTGGGACTGTGCTTGCTGATAAGTTAAGGTCCCCGTAGGCACCTCCCCTGCCCTCCCCTGCCCTCCCCTGCCCTGCCAAACCAGGAATTACTCCGCGCCCTCTCGTTCCCCTTTTCTGCACTGGGAGGGAGTGGCGGGTCCCTCTGCGCTCCCAGAACGTGAGCTCCGCAGTGATGGGAGCCACGTCGCTGTGCCCACCCGCGTGGCCGCCGGCGCCTAGCTCCGAGCCTGCCCGTGGAGGACACTCGGACAGCGCGCGAGTCAGCGGCAGGCCCGGGATTCGTTTGGGGTCCACAGGTGAGGAAGCCTTGACTGAAGAAGAGCTTGACAAGCTCTGCGGCTCCGAGGTTCGCCCTCCCTCCTCGGCTGCTCCCGAAGACCGAGTGTTCCTGCTTCTGTGTCTTTCGTTTCGCCGGGAGGACCCTGTTAGCCCAAACGTGGCAAAAACGCACTGAGTGCCCGCCGCACGCCGAGAGCTGGCTTTGGGGTGGCCGGGGAGCCTGGCCCCTGGGTTCCCCCGGTCAGTTTGTAGGGTGGCCTCGGGGAAGGGGCACAGCCTCAGGAACCAGACCGCCGGGGTCCTTACCTCCCCTCTGCCGCTCCCACTCCACCCCCTAGGCCCCTCACGTCCGTTCCTAACTTGGGAACACACAGCCCGGTTGTGAGGGGTAAGTGCGAGCACGCGCGGAAGGCGAGGCGTTGGCCCTCAAAAAATAAACGTCCGCTAGTCTCTCACTTCGGGGAACCGAGTTCCTGGGGTCTGTCTCTGTTCTTCCCCTCGCTGCGGGGTTCACCGCCTCTTGTCCCCGTCCGTGGTCTCTTTCTCCGTTGTAACCAAGTCACCACACCAACGGGGTTCTCCAGCGTGGGGGGAGCCTGTCTTCCTCCTGGAACCCCAGCACGGAGCAGAGTGCTGCTGCGTGGGCGGACCCCGCGTTCATCGACCCTGCTGGGGAGCTTAGACTAGGAGAGGGGCTTGGCCACAGCCTGGTGCCGAGACTCCGAAGTGCCTGATGGCAGGTCTGTCCGGTCAGCCTCCCGCAGGCCTACGCAGGCCCCTTAGGCGGATCCGGAGACAGAAAGTAAACGCTGGGTTGCTGAGGGCTAGGGAGAGGGAGGGACGGGGTGTGACTCCTAATGGAGACAAGATTTATTTGGGGGGGGTCATGAAAACGTTCTAGGATCAGAAGGATGTACGACTAATTAGTAACGTTGAAGTGCGTGCTCCAAACAAGGAACTTCGGATAGTAAATTCTATCTCAATAAAGCTT